CTTTCCATAATTAGTGGTGATCACAATAGATCAGTTTTAATGAAGCCACCCTAATAACAATAGGGTTAAATTAGACTAATAAATCTGAGTAGGTACGTATTTAAAATATGTATTAAAATACGTGAAAGGTAGTATTGAAAGTACAGTTTATTTAATTAACAACATCAAAAACCAAACTCTCCGTTACAGGTACAGTGTCAAGAGTACGTCAAGCTCAACACTTAAGATTTAAATCCAACTCTATACCTATAATAAGAAGGGTCCAAAGTACAAAGTGTATACGAAAGAACTGTTCTGCAATTTAATTACCTTAGACATTTTTTTTTAATGATTACTGGATTACACACACTATACATTTTTCAATGAAATTATTCGAAAATTCCAAAATTATGCGACTGTATTAATAAATCCACTCATTAACGGTTTTTTGTAAGTGCGATCAGGTCTATTCTAGAAGTTGTAGTGGTTCTCAATATCTAATGACACACCACCGGAACAAGCTTATTCCAGCGTGGACGTGAAACATACCTACTATAACTTTAAGACGACGTACAGGCTAATTTAGTTTTATAAGTCTAAAACCAACTAAATTACGACTTTTTTAAAATGTAAACCGATCTGAGGTAAGTTTTGTTATTCTCGAGAGAGAAGAATGGCGCCGTCTAAATAAATTTACTTCTGCGTGGTCAGTAAAACACCTTGTAACTTTGACATTGACTAAATGATGACCTGACTAAGTCAATTTTCAATACCTGCTCTATTAAAGTCACGTTAGAATAAGATACACATAGTAACTAAAGAAACCACGGTATAAGTTGTAGGTAAAAGTATACTTAGGGTACCCATCCCAAGGTCTCAAATGAATTTACATTTGTAAGTGTAAACCGATGGTGAAATTAATGTTCTCGTGCAGAAATTTCATGTATCACTGCAATATTTCCAAACAATAGTTTGGTGCTCAACATTCGACCAATTATAAATGCTCTAAACAAATGAAAAACCTTGTGATGTAAACGTCATTTTGTCACCAAACTTAATTTTTTTAAGTTTCGTGCAAAATTTAGAGCGTATGTAATGAGATATTGTCACTAGTATGTAGTGTAGAGCACGTCAAGCTTGACACTTTGTACTTTGGACCGTTCTTATCGTAAGTGGCATAGAGTTGGATTTAAGTCTTAAGCGTCAAGCTTGATGTGCTCTTGACCTTGTGCCATGAATATCGTGTTAAAGTCTTTGGTAAAAGGTTTTTTCTGGACACGTCAATAATGTATCTAATTACTACATCGTTTAGTATCATTCTATCGAGAAATTGCTAAAATTAAAACTTCATTTACTTAGTGTACTTAATTCGTTATTTGGAATTTAGTTACGCAATGAACACCTGCATCTACTATATTGACTAAAATGAATTGGGCTTCATGGTCTTTGTCATCATGGCAAATTTGCGTTGATGCATTTGGTTTGCATACCTTTATTACCAATGGCGTATGTATGTATATACCACCACGCTTGTCTCCTTATATATTCATACACAATGTTGAGTTTTCTGGTAAAATGTGAAGTTTATCTATGATTCTATATTAATAACTGTCGATGTTTTGACTCTTACGCATTATAATGGTTATCAATAAAATGCACTAATTGCTTTTGGATATATCCAATACTAACGGGAAAACTACTTATTACCTGCTTACTATTATGACGCTATAATATTTTAAATAGATATCGCATATAAAACTCACGTAACGATAGATTGGAAGCGTAGACACTAAAAAGAATGTTAGTAGGTGAAAGAATGTTAGTGCTAATGAAATTCATATTGCAAATAACACAGCTCGTTGTAAGCAACCAACCAGTGCTCCGATTTTTTAAAATAAACCTATCGAAAAAGCTTTCTGAATGGAAATAGATTATAAGTATTATAACGTATATATTCTATAATATAGAAATGTAGAAGACTTACGATTCAGCATCTATCAAGTCATTCATTAATTTATTTAATTTACTTCGCTAACCAGAATTTACCGTAAACCTTTTAAACAGTGAATACCTACAATCTACGAAATCATCATCAAATCATGTCGATTAAATTTAGTACATGCAAACTATAAGAAAGCATATTTTTGTCAAACATTACCTTAATACAAAATTCTATGTACCAATTGCCACAAACACTACCACGCTTCTGTTAAAACAAACAACTGTTCGATTGATTTGGCTAATTATGCGAAAAATTAAATATAATTTTTGCCGAGAGTTTGGGCCAGTGTATTTGAATTTTAACGCGCGCCCGTTTGTGTATCGTTCACTTTACTAGCGGCGTAAAGCAGGCTCTGTCTTACACCGTCGCACCACGGTTACACAACACCACCCACCACAGAACCGGCCTGTTATCCAATATTCCACTGAGAGAAGGCCGCGTAATATACGTACGACTGCAGATCGCCAAGGTTCCGGGTTTGATCCAATGTCGGTAACAAGATTCAGAACCGATAAGGTATAAAAACAATAGTGGAAATCGTCGAAAGTAACCCAAATTGTCACACATGTTATTTTAGTACATTTTACATACTTTAAAAGTTTTATTTGTGGAAAAATCCCCAAATATAATTTTCTCTCTGTAAGGAAAATCCATATGCAGATGTAGGGTGTATATAAGTTAATACAATAATGTCTGTTTCACTTATCTATCCATAAGGACAAATGCCCCAGAGAAGAAATTGTATCTAATTAATTCAGTCACTCGATGAATTTATTATTATCATAAAATAAAAGAGACTGTGAAAGGCAGTTTAAATGAAAACAAACAGGTAATCATGCCAACTCAAATTTTAATAATTATCCCTTTGGTTGTATTATAACTTTCATACTAACCAAGTTTCGAGCAAATAATTAAAAATTGAGTCTAATCTAATTAATTTGTTCCTTTAATCCGTTCATGGTCACTACTGTCCATGAAACTGAAAATTTATAACTGTTACTGTTTATGGACAGTAACGGCTACAAATTTTTTTAGAACCAACTACGGGCTTTACAATGCGATTTCCAGGTGCTTTCTGTGTAGTTGCCGCCTACTGCTCTCCAAGGAGAAATATCGACAACGTACTGATAAAATTCATTAATTTACACGCCCGCACACTATGGACGTTACACAACATTATTTAAGATATGTAGTTATATTACAATAGTACGATGGACACCGACATGTTTTTGTGAGATGCATAGAGTATACTCGATGGTGAGATGATACAAGTACACGTCGGTCGGTGGCATTGAACATTCTAACAGCAAATAAAACATTTTTCTCTCGCCTAGCGGTAACGTCTTACAACTTTCATAGCTGTATACTTTCTTTTATACAAGAATGTTGACGGGATTTGCCGTCGGTGATAAATCGTAATTAATATATTGAATATAATAAGGGTGCACGAAAAGAGCCTCCCGCACGACGTACATGCATTCCTTTCCTATACATCTGACTGGCGCATCCTGGGCAACAATCGCCGAGTACCTTACACCGATTAACAAATCCTTTCACCACGATAGCAAGCATTATAATGTATGCCATTGATATGATTAAAAGAAGATTATATTGAATCGATTTACGTACAAAGAAATGTAGTGACATTTTGAGATGCGGTACTATTTCTTTTTAGTACGGTCGTAAAAGGGTTAAGGTCTTTTAATTATAGTCGTCACCAAATAAGAGGCCACATTTGACAGCTAAAGAAGGCGATAGTATGTAATTTTGAAAGCGATCAACGAAACAATAAACATACAATTATTAGAATAATTGAGTTTAAAAAATACATAAACATTATATAATATGATAAAACATATTTGAGGTACTGTTTTCGAATTACAATATAAAATGCAATTTTGAGTTACTCCAAAACGTCCTGAAAATTACGTCCTAAAGCTATTTTTTTTAATAATAGTGTTGTAAGCAATTAATCGCTGAATTTCACCGAGTCACTTCGATTTCTCGGAAAAAATATTGCTTATTAAATATTAAAACAAAAATGTATAAAGATAGGTGTATTTTAAATAATTATGTATATAACATCTCTGACGACACCTATTGCAAATAAATTTATAATTTATCAAATTTATAAGTGTATTTCCTTTTCTTTCTCGCAAATTTTGAATTGTCAACACTGATACCAATCCAGCGGCACCCGGAGTCCGCGCCCGTTAGCCGCGCAGTCTTTCGCCATCTTGGAAGTTGACTGTGCGCTTGGTTATTTTTAAGTATTTTTGTTGTGATTCGGCTTTGCTTTTGGACTGTTCCTGTTTTCTAAATTATGAACATTATTTGAGATTGTTAGTTGCTGACATCGACAACTTTTAACTAATTGCCAGCCGAATAATTGAAAATTCATAAAATCTTTGGTTTGGTAATTTATCTTTTTATGTACCTAGTTGTTTTGTTGATGAACATACTTATTTACACTAAATTCTCGTAATAAACCATTTATAAATATTATAAAATGAAAAATTAAAAGAATTGGATACAATTCACAATTTTACGAAAATGAGAGGAATTGATACAAAATTGCAAGGAATTCTATAAATGAATTGCTTTTAACAGAATTGCACTATTTGGTCTTTTAGGTACCCTGAATAACAATGAACCGAAAAATAATCTACACAATTATAAACTCTTAGATCAGAATCAGATCTCTTCAAAAGATTTCGATGTGATTACCGATATGATTAGTCCACATCCCTATTATTTGGTGACGACTGTAATTGGTCGACTCGATTAGGTTTAATGAACGACCACACAGTTACAAGTGTGTTGAACGCACATGCACAGTGTATTTATACAACTATTCTTACTCGGTAACTTCACCAACAACTAAAGAAAATATGCCTTCCCTTTACGCCAAGGCCGTAATAAATTAAAGATGTGTTTGACATTTCCATTCTTGTTTGACAAGTGACGTCATAATCAATCATACAAACAGCTTTGGATTTTGTAGTTGTTTTTCTCGACGATTTCTCTGGTGTCTACCTTTTACGTTGTAAAATTCGTAGTAAATAATTTAAATATCTTCAGCAAGAAATTTATCAAATTTGTCGTACGAATATTTGCGCGTTAATTGTGACGTAACTTAGCCGTTTTGTTTTGCTTTGCGTTGTGGACGGAATGGCAACTGTTCAAGGACCAAGTGGAGCTCCGTCAGCGCCAGACGATCTCCCTCCACCGTATTCAGCTGTAGTAGGGAACCCGCAGTATGGTTTCGTGGTTCCAGGACCGGAGCCTTACGTACCTGGTGTACCCCCTGGCGCGCCGAAGCACTTTACGACACCTCACATGTATCCACATCCTCCTTCAGTGACTAGTGTTCAGCCTCAGACCGGAGAATCGTTGCCACCGACTGGGCTTCCAATGTCAGTGGGAATAGTGCTTCCACAGGCAGCTGTCGGTAACCTACCTACGACAGTGACTTGCTTCAACTGCGGCAAAGTGGTCACAACGAGAGTCACATACACGACAGCCTGGCATACTCATTTGGTTGCTGGATCTTTATGCATTATCACTATGTGAGTATTTATATAATATCTAACAATTTTTTTATTATTAATAGGTGAGCAGCTTGAAGCAGATATGCCTATATCAAAGCTGTGTTGAACTTTTATGAAGTCCACGAATTCACAAATAGTTCTGAATCTTTTAGTTAAAGTCCACAAAACACTAGAACTTAAAGACCTTGAAGACACAAATTCTTCTTTTTTAACCAGCTGTCCAGCCGGTTTTTGAAAGCGTTCACTGAGCTAGCATTAGCCACATCCTCAGGCAACTAGTTCCACTTTGAAACCACTCTGTTGTCAAGGATGTGGTAGGCAGTGTTGGTGAGTGATGGCCTTTGGACAATTTTCATGTTGTGACCCCTGATATTCCTGGAGTGTACTGTTCTTTCGAAGCAGTTGTGGAAGGTCTGGAAGATTGTAGAACCCATGAAGAATTTTAAAAGTTTCAATTAGATCACCCATGAAGAATTTTAAAAGTTTCAATTAGATCACCCCGTACCCTTCTTTCTTCAAGAGTAGTGAGGCTCAGGGACTTCAATCTATCCTCATAAGATTTACGACGTAGAGCCTGAGGTATTTTGGTGACTCTCTTTTGTATGCTTTCCAATGGATCAATGCCCTTCCGAAAGTACGGACTCTAGACTTGGAATCCATATTCAAGCATTGGCCTTAATCTTGTAAATATTAATAAAGACTTCGACAGTCATCCCTTGCAAAGATCTCCGTATGATGTATATAAAAGAGTTTGTTGAGTTACCGTGGTACCAATGTGTTCTTCCCATTTTAAATTTGAAGTTATGGTAATTCCCAGATCTTTCTGCTGGCCGACTGAGCTTATAACATTACCATATAAACTATAATTTTTTGTGGGTTTTGGGAACCAAGGTACAATACACTACATTTTGAAATGTTAAGTCTGATGATCCAATCTTTGGTCCAGTTACAAATGCGGTCAATGTCATCTTGCAGTTGCCCAGATTTTAGTAAAGGGTTGGCAAAAAACTTACCATCATCTGCGAAGAAGGCTGGTTGGCACTCGATGGTAATAAAGAGCCCAAAAAGGTGAGTAGTGAGGACTGATCCCTGAGGAACACCACTAAGCACAGGTTTCGGTTGTGATAGAGAGTAGCCAACTCAAACTTGAAAAGTTTAGCCAGTCAAATAACTTTAATCCAAAATGCTCAATCTTCATTAATAAACATTGGTGACGTATTTAACCTATCGCAGTTGTGACACTTCATAAATGGAAACTAAGGGAGTGATTCATAATATTGTAATAAGATTGTAACAGTGCTGTGGCAGAGAACAAAAAAGTAACGAGAACGGACACTCTCCGCTCCTCCCTAGCTTCAGATACTGCACTACGCCCCGCACATTGACGATCACATTGACGAACGACAACAAGGCTGTCGTCGAGCCGTTTTCGTGCGTGCGTGCGTGCGTGCGTGCGTGCGTGTGTGCGTGCGTGCGTGCGTGCGTGCGTGCGTGCGTGCGTGCGTGCGTGCGTGCGTACGATAGAAAGTAGGACAGTGAAAGCGTGTACTTGTATGTCCTGTGTGTTAATTGGATTTTTACGATAACACGCGTAATATTTCTTCCGACTACTCATAACAAAAGCGCCAGAATTTTCTTTTTTGCCTCGAAGACACTACAAAATTTAATGTCACATTTATTTGCCAGAATGTTGTAGATACGCGGAAACGGCGCGCAAAATTAGTACACACAGGAGTTGGAGGAATTTTGAAAAGTCTCTTCTTCAACATATCTGAGTATAAAGGCATATTTAGAGCTTTTTGGTGCATATAAACGGTAGCTCGCAATAAATATATCTTACGGACACTAAGAACTTGCGATTCTTTGAATAAGTCTACTGTAGGGTATTGTCGTGGCTTGCGCAGCGATACGTTTAAAACAGCTATTTGAGCTCTTTCGAAAACTAAAAGAGATGTTCTAGCAGTTCCTCCCCAGGTGAGAATACAGTAGTTTAAATTGATTGGCATAAAGCGAGATATATAGTTTTCAATAGTTGTCCATTTGTAGCCTCTCTTAGCAATTTCATAGTGTAAATAAGCTTTCGTACCCTACCGGCTGTCATCGTTGTGTTTTCTGAAATTAAGATTTTCGTCTAATATGACACCTAAGTACCTTACAGAATCGGCCCCTTGTATAATATCGCAACTGTAGTCAGCGTCTGAGGCCCCACAGCCTTCGATATTTACTTTTAAATATGTCATTGTAGATGGTGGGCTAGAGATGAAAGTTTTGTGAAAATTTAAAAAACGTGTTTTTTTTGTATTTAGCGTGAGAAGATTATTATTTAACCATACGGTAATCTTACGTACCTTAATACCTGCCATCGCTATAGCATTGACGCTATTCCACGACTGATCATGAAAAATAAGGGCCGTATCATCAGCGTAACACAAAATTTCACAACTAGGGATTTGAAGGGACAAGATATCGTTGATGTACGCTATGAAAGGCGTGGGGCCCTATATGTACAGCCCAGTACGCTGCGGGACCCCGAAGGAGATACATTTTTGGCTGATCAGCAAACCGTTAACCTTGACACAGATAACAGGAAAACCAATGTAAGGCCGTGTACGTGTACCACGTATACCATAACCTTCTAATTTGCGAATTCAGTTAGGACAACGTATCAAACGCTTTGCTAGATCTAGGAAGACGCCAGTACAGCTCCGACACCCATCCAGATGAGAGTCCACTATTTCTGTTAAGTGTTACGGCATCGTCAGTAGATTTCCCTTGACGAAAGGCGAATTGGCGGGAAGAGAGTAAAATTATTATTTTCTTAAAATTTGACTAATCGCTTGTTGACAATTCTTTCCGGTAGCTTGGAGTATGCACCGAGAAGAGATATAGGACGATAGTTGCTAGGAATATCGTTAAATCTATTTTTATGTATCGGGATCACTGTAGCAGTGTTCCAGCTTTGCAAGAAGTGGCCTGTAGACATGCTAGGGTTAAAGATTGCAGCTAGAGGTTTCTGTATAATGCTGCCTATGGCTTTTAAGAGTCTGTTGTTAATACCACCCATTCCAGGGGCTCTTTTTGCGTCAAGATATTTAATAACACCATAGACCTCCTCCTCATCAGTAGGTTCTATAAAAAAAGATGTAGTATTAATGTGACCGATATTGATCTTTGAAGCTAGAGATTCTTGAGTTTTGTTAAGTTTAGTCAATATGGAACTTGCAAGACTGTGACCCTCAGAAGATAAATAGAAGTTACAATAGTCGAGAGATTCCTCGATGAACGATTTACTTAAAGCGTCAGCCACTGAGACTGTGGTATTTTTATGTGTAATTCGACTTATTGTGTCCCAAAGGTTTTTGGGCGCATGTTTGTTTTGTGTTAATTCTCGGTTATCATGTTCAGATTTCATGTTTCTCAAAAGATTCTGTAATTAGTGTAGATAAGTTTCTTTATTGAATTGTTTGGGTCTTTACGATGCTCCAGGTGTAATTTATTTTTATGTTTAGAGCATCTAATCAGTATTTAAAAGTAACTGTCCAACTGTTGTATGGAGTGTCCGGGGTGTGGCTGTGGTCTATTTAGTCAGCATATTTTCTGTACATTTCTTGATTATTTTTAAGGTGTTCTTGTTATTCGTAAAATTTTTAATCATTTATATTTTTTAACTAATGTAGATAGGAAGCGTATACCTTTAATTCGTGAAAATAGCAAATAGGTAGCAATTATTGGTAACACATGCTGGAAAAATCTGCTCCTTTCATGCCGAACAAAGTGGCGACCAGCCATTATGATATAAGAATGGCTGGTCAATTATTTTTTAAATTTCTCAGAATATATTCAAGGTAGCAATTCTTCAATATACACTCAGTGCCAGAAGTCACAGGCGGCCAGCCATTCTGACGGTTACGTCAAAACAGGAACATTACTGAGATTTCAACAAAATAATTATATGATGGGCCTCTACGTATAATGTACAGTGATCGGAACTGAGGGAGTTAATTTACATAAAGTATGAACATTTTCTTATTATGGACATACCCATATCGTAATCAATGTGTGTTGTAAAATTTAATTTTATACTGTTTGTGTTTAAAATTTTCTAAGTATGTAGGTTGTCTCAAATTTTTTTTATGGCTAGATTATTTAAATACTTAGTCCATATAAAAACACAACTACAATATTATTTTTTTGAGACAATGATTTGTAGCAAATAATATAATAATAATAGGAAATAATACCTTGTCGCCTTATAATAAGTTCCGGTGTTTGTAGAAGGGAATGTCCACATTATTCTTTAGTTTAGCTAAATGAACTCCCTTAATTCGATCACTGATAATGTATTATAGAAAGTTTAGCAGCCACTATATAATGTGTAACTATACTATGCTGTCTATGCTTCTTGGTTTATATACCTTGTGCAAATAACTGGAGATTGTAGAATGGTGCTACCGAAATATATTTATCCCAGTATAGACAATAAAAAACCAAGTAATATTAAAGTAGTGGACCAACTAGATTTACTTTTTTGCAACAAATTAACTGCAATATTACAACTTCTTACCTGACTAATCAAATTTGAAAAACTTGATTATGTTACTCGGATATATAATATAAGCCACGTCAATGAGTCTCTAAGAGTCGTATTCCAGAACTCTACTCAATGCTCAAGTCAGGATTTGAGCAGACTTGAGTATGATTTGAAGCACTGGAAATACGACCCTAATAGCAAGGACTGGAGAATGATTTTCAGTGGTCACTACAATACTCATGTCCTGACTTCAGTATAATTTCAAGCACTGGAAATACGACCCTAATGGCATGGACTTGAGTATGATTTTCAGTGCTCACTGCAATACTCAAGTCCTGATCTGAGTATTGAGTAAAGTTCTAGAATACGACCCTAAGAGTCGTATTCCAGGCTCAATCAACTCAATGCTCAAGTCAGGACTTGAGTATGATTCAAAGAACTTGAAATCATACTCAAGTCCTTGCCATTAGGGTCGAATTTCCAGTGCTTGAAATCTTACTCAAGTCTGCTGAAATCCTGACTTGAGCATTGAGTAGTTCTGGAATACGACCTTTAGCTCAAAAAACTACAAAGTGTCAATTTTATGGATTAAATATCTGTAGATATGGTTCAGAATCTTAACAGCTCAGAGCATACTCTTAATTGTAACAATTACTGTGTAAAATACCTAATATACATTTTGTTGACAGGGTGTGCTCGTTATGCTGTGTGGGACTGATCCCCTATTGCTTCGACTCATTCAAGGATGCCGAGCACTATTGTCCCAATTGCAACAGTTTTATTGGAAAAAGCAGCAAGTGCTAAATGTTTATTTAAAAATACCCCAATATGTACTAGAACAATAGAGTATAGCCTATGAATTGTACTCCAGATCTATTCTAATGAAATCCCTGATATTATTGTATTTGGTGCCATTATTCGGTATATTAATTTAATTCTGACTTAATTTCTCATATAAGTAAATTGTATATTTGCATCAACTATCGAAATGTGTAAATATTAAGAGATTCTAACATTTCTTACAAAAGTCTGAATTAGTTTATACAGATCATTATAGCAACAGCTTTTGGAACATTCATTTTTTGTAGTCGTTTGTAATGGGTATTCCACATTTCGACTGTGAACTGGCAATCAGTACAGTCTCAGTTTTGACAACTTTACAGGTGAAGAAAAATCATTTACGTAGCATCTGGTTTATTAATATCGATTACTTTTCACTGATGTGATTTCTGTGTCCTCCTTAAATATATTAATTACACCTTTAAAGATAATATTATTTTTAGTATATTTTATGATTGAATAAATACTAGTAATATAACAATTAATCACTATAAAGGAAAATTACGAATATTAAATTTAATGCATTCATATAATATATTATTATATTATAATGAAAATTGTATTGTGTATCGATTTAAGCTTTATTTTTCTGTCATATTTGTTTATGCTAGTTTATAAAAGGTTTTTATCTAGAGCTTAATTGATTGATGCATGTGAAAACATTCCAGTTGTTTAGTAGAACTAAGCACCTATAACTAACTATTTTATTGCACCCACATCACTTTATCTAACCTTCTGCATATTGTTTATGGCAGCTAGATGGAATAAGTAGTTAAACCAAAGTGATGTGAGTGAGTGAAGATGACTGACAGACTGAAAGTTTACTAAATAATGGAATTGAGGAAGACAAATCCATTAAAATATAAGAAGGTTCAGGTGTATTTTACTTTAGTAATATAGCAATTTCATAATGCATCACACGTAAAATTATATGAATTATTCCTATATTCAGGATATTTCTCTTTAACTAAAGATCCCAAATAAGGGACTAATCAAAGTGAAGTACAGAAGTAATTGTTACGTGTAATAAAATCAACATGTGGAGTGTTTAATTTCATTATTATCTTATTATTATGTTGCAAACAGTTTTGAAATATTTTGTAAATAATATTTTTGTAAACATAGCAAACGTCTCGCAGCTTACATAGATAGAGAACAATTTTAAATTTTTATACGTTGTAATTTATTTTATTTATTAAAACTGTCTATTAAAATTTTATACCTCGCCTGTTTTGCCTGTAGTAAGTCATTCATATTTACTACTATCGTGTTGTTTGTGTAATTAGTGTGTATATTATTATTATGAATAAAGCTTTGGTATTTAACGAAGCTTTTTGTTTTCATCATATTTCCAAAGAACAAAGTGATTAAACTGTTCCAGTGAGTTTTTATCTTGTACTTAGTTATCAAAACCGATTAGATAATTAAACGATCTGATACTGATATGCGCACTAAAGCGAGGTATCAATGTGGCATTTATGCAGGTTACGATATATTTTCGTGTTTTATAATTAGTTCAATATGAGTCAAGAAAACAGTGCCAATCCTGTCGAGAGTAGTGCAGAATTGTATGTGGAATCAGATACAGTGCAATTTTACCGTGAACCACCTCCGCCCTACACTTTGCCAGCTAATGAAACCCAGCCCCCAGTGTCTACCCAACCCAATGCCCAGGAAATCAAAGAAATTGTTCTGCCAAAACTAACTCTGAAAGCTGGGCCCACTTTCTGCCAGTGCTTCCAATGTGGACATAAAGGTCTCTCTAAAGTGGAATATGTAAATACAAACAAAACACATTTACTGGCTGGTTGCATTTGTGGCACTACATGGTAAGTTTTAATTTTACTGTTTCATTGTAATTATCCAAATATTCTGCCAACTTACATGTGTAAACATAAAGCTACTTGATGTAAATAATTATAATCTTTTACATAAACCAACTTTTTGTGTTACTGTTATAAAGTCCTCATAAAACACATATCGTCAATATATCTCCAAATGTGTTTATATCAATTAATAAATAACAATTATTCTACTCCAGTTGGTGCTGCATATGTTGCCTGGGAGCAATACCATACTGCATGAAGTCATGCAAGAAATCAACACACTATTGCACTAATTGTGAAATATATCTTGGATCATATTCAAACTACTGAGCTTTGTCTCAAAATTGTATTTCCACATTATATGTTTGATTAAGTTAATATATTTTTTTTATTGGCACTTGTAACAATTTGTGTTTTATTTGCAACCCTTTAAAGCAATTATTTATATACAATTACAAAATTGTTTGAAATTGGTCAAAATATACCTGCATTTGTATTTGTAAATAAGAATGTGAATGTGTTGATTCAAAAGATAAATGGATCTAAATTATTAGACATTAGACTTGAAATAAATCCATTGGAATAATGGCATGATTAGATTTAAGTCACAATAAACAATATGTATCTGTAGATAAGATTATTGTTGTTCTCGTCTTTCACAGTATTGCATGTTTGTATTCCTTACAGTTTCTGTTCTGAAATTGCATTCATAAATGGGCAACAGAATAAAATAAATAAAATTCTTAATAACAATACAATATTTGAAAGTCAAGGAAAAACATCACACTGTACAGTCTTATAAATATGTTATGTCCAACAATATCTATCTATTTTTATGTCCATTAACTGATTAAGGAATTTGGAGCCTGAAGCAATCTGATGCTATCTTCCATTTCCCATCCACGGCAACGATAAGGAATGTTTGCTGAAACGGTTTTTTGGCGTCATCATTTTGATATGTGACATCTCCACAGGCTTGGATAAGGTAGGTCAACTTATTCGACACTATATTTTCTGCTATGGGTTGAGCGTCTAGGGTCTTCAGTATGTGCGTACTCGCCGGTAAATCCATGAGGAATTTCTGTATCTTGTCGCTACCGTTAATTCCATTGCCATTCCACACCAAAAGGCCCGTGTCAAGATACAATTTTGAGGTTAGATGACGGCTGTTATCCACTTGTTTGTAGAACACTCGAGTAAATTCCTCAGCTGTTTCGCAAGCGTTGTCTACGTTTTTTACTGGCACTTCTGCCATTTTGTTTAAAGTATAAACTCACACTATGCTACTCAGAAGAATAAATTACTCAATAATACCGCAATAAAAATAGGGCAAACAAACAATCGGTACGTACAATTTTATTAGGGATGGGTAAATTATATCGATAAATCAAAATATCGATTTTTTTCATAAAATATACACATCGATATTTTTAAACTCTATATATATATCGAGATATACGCGCACACGCCGCACACTTGTATTAACTACACTTTTGGATACAGTAATGTATGACTGATTTATAGCATTTATAAAATAATGTAACTATTAAGGTAGTAATTTACTTTATAAGTCAATAGCTCTTACACTAAGCTTGCAGAGTTATCGGTCAATTAAAATGAAATTCCATGCACTTAGCACATTTGAATAGACATATGTAGCACTTAATACTTTAGATAATTAAAAATTACTCAGAGTTTTCAATCGACTGCGCCCGCACCCTGAGACATAAGTTGACATAACAAGTCCCAGCACCTTTACCCATCCAAACCGGAACGCAATAATAATCACATTACTACTTGGCGGCAGAAATAGGTAAGGTGGCAGTACTGCCCTTGTTGATCTGTTGATATTATCAAAATATGACTTTTTTTAGTATCACTTTCAATAAGTCAAATAATCATTTATTCCATTGGTAAAATTTTTACACTTGAAAACGTCATTTTTTAAGCTAATGCTCGTTCACTACGCTGACATCCTTGAGAAAAACGAACAAGAAACTCTAGGGATTTCAAATTTAAACTTAGATGCTCTAAAATACAATTTGAATCATATTTGTGTGGAATCTAGACTCACGTTGTCTTTCCACACATCTTTATCTAACACGTTAGATAAAGATGTGTTTGTCTACGACTTTTCAATTAAAATACGTTTAATATAAGCTTTAAACTTTTATTGTAAAAACGTATACTAAATACTACGCGAGTAAGTCCCGTTACTTTTATATTATAGAGTTCCCCATAAAAGTATCGTTTACCTTAGTTAAACAAAATCATGGTACCATGAGTTTGGACTTAGTTCTAAGGTTAATATTATGGATATCTTCTTTCTTAACGAAATTATGTATATTTTTACGGGCATACAAAATATTTGAGTAAATGTACTGTGATGCCACAGTCATGAGACCAGTCTCCTTAAAATTTTCTCAGAGAAATTCGAGAACCTAAACGGTACACAGACCGAATCGCTCGTTTTTGCAACACAAATATGGTTTGTATATCTGCCGCTTTACCCCACATGAGAATCCCGTAGGACATTATACTATGGAAGTAACTAAAGTAAACTAGTCTAGCAGTAGCAACATCGGTAAACTCACGTATTCTACGGACTGCGTATGCAGCAGAGCTTAATCTGCTGGCCAAGGAAGATATATATGGAAACCGTTGGAGTTTACTATCTAAGGCCACTCCCAAAAAGACAGTTTTATTAACAAGGTCTAACTTTTTTCCATTTGTTTCTATGATTGGGCAAGTAGATTTTACATTAGGTAATTCAAATTTAACACGCTGTCTTCTTGGCGTTGAGCAATAAATTGTTAATATTAAACCAATAAACTACCTTTGAAAGGGTATAATTAACATTGTCATAGTTAACGTTATGTCTGTCTGTTTTAAAAATCAAGGACGTCTCGTCAGCAAACAATACTATTTCGCAAAGGTCCTTAACAAAGAATGGTAGATCATTAATATAAACGAGAAACAAGAAAGGTCCAACTATTGAGCCCTGCGGAATACCCATTTTTACCGGGGAACCCAAAGAAGTCACTCCATTCATGTCTAATTTCTGAATTGTACCGTTAAGATATAACGAGACAAGTTCCAACGCCTTGCCATTTACTCTGCAATATTCCAGCTTCCTAATGAGAGTAATATAATCGACGCAATCAAATGCCTTTTGAGAGGACACAGAAAAGCCCAATAGCGTTCTCGGACCTTACCCAAACATCAAAGATATGTTTTAGTAGTGCTAACCCACATCGCTAGTCGATCTACCTCTAGTAAACCCGTATTGTTCACTATGAAAAATATGATTCCTACCGAAATACGACAGTATTTTGAGTTTTTTCATTTGAGTCAACATAACCTTTTCGAATATTTTACTTAAAGCTGGTAGAATTGAAATGGGCCTATAATTACTAGGATCAATTTTCCTGCCGCTTTTGAATAAAGGAATAACCTTACTGTATTTCATCAAATCGGGAAAAATACCTTCGTCAACGCACCTATTGAATGCATCGGCTAAATATGGGGAAATTAGATAAATTACCGAGTCTATAACGTTAGTCGATATGCCCCAGAGATCTTCAGTTTTTTTAACATGTATACATTTAAAAGCTTTAATGATGTCTTTAGAATTAACATGATGAAAATTAAAAACACTGCCACAAACTTTAACATTTTTCTTTAGGAGATCAATAGCAAGAGATGGAGAGGAATTTAATGATTTTGTAGTGTTTACAGCGATTTCCGAAAACAATGATTCAAAAACTTGGGCTATGTCATATTTTGTTTTAATAAGTTTTTGTCTAATTCTAGAACAATATCTCTACCATGTTATTTAACCCTGCCTGATTCTTTATTTATTATACTCCAAGTAGTTTTACATTTATTTTTCGATTGTATAATTTTATCGCTTTGAAACTTAGCCTTAGCAGCTACACATACTTTTTAAAATATTATTGAATAACTTTTAACATATTCTATTACAAGTTTTCATAGCATATATCTGTTGCCAACGAGACCTACTCTTATGAATGCCTATTGTTGCCCAGTCATTGAATTTAGTCTCCCTGTGGAAAGTTAGTGTTTTCAATGTAAACACGTAATCAAATTCATTTTTAATGCAATTAAATATTGTGCTATATAAAAAATTTGGAACCTCCGGTATATGGGGGAGGGATTTTAAGTTATTGTCGATATCCTTTTGAAATCTAATGATTAGTTCTGTGGTAATCGGTCTGCAAAGAAATTGGTCTACCTATATTTAACTGCCTCCTTGGCTGGACTGCCACGCAGATGACCCGGGTTCGATACCCGTGCCGGGAGAAATATTTGTATGGCCTACAATTATTTCTCTCGTGAGTTTGGGTGTAATTTGTGATTGTCTATATGTGTGTCCAGGGCACCCGCGATACAGTATTTCCCTAATGCGGGGCTATGAGTGTGTGCAGGTTATTATTATCAAAAATATATATAACAGCCACAGACAAAGCTTTACGAATATTTGAATGTGAATTACGAATAGTTGAAATGTCTTATATTTTTTTTTATAACTTCAACATAATTCAGATACACCGCAACGGGTCTTTATGATCTCGAAAATTTACTTATTCTAATCCTAAAAATATTCCCAAACTATTTTGGGAATATTTTTAGAATTTGGAAATAGTATCGATATCGATAAATATCAATACTGTTAGTAAATATCGATACGATATATATATATATATATATATCGATATATTTTTATCAATGCATCCCTACATTTGATCAAACGTCAACATTTTTTTTATTCCTTTCGTCCAAAAAAAGCACAGATTAAGGCAAGATAAAATCACAACGTACCTATTTAAAAAATAATCATTATTAAAATGAATTAATAACGGTTAATGAGTTCGCAAGAATAATCCATAAGGATTACTTACCTACTTAACTACCTTGCTATTGTTATCTTGAAATGTGAATATAGTCAAAGAGTAGTTTGTACATATTTTAGGTAGTATTAATAACAATAGTTCAGCAAGGATACAATAATATTGACTATGTGGATACATAAAATATAATTAGTGTTCAGCAATGACAAGCTAATCAATTAATATATCTTTTCTTTACATTATAATTAATGGTTATTCAAGTAAAAAATCATTTTCATTCCTATAAAACTTTCAAATTGTATTCATGTAAAAATAGCTTATTCAACACGGGAGATGTCTCAAGTAAAGCATCACAATACAGCCAATGTTTATAGTTTGATTAGGTTGTGTAAATAGAGAAAAAGTAAAGGAGAAAAATTGCTGACGATTCTACAAGAATTATAAGGAATAAAAAACCGTAAATGATTAAGAAATATTTATTTGATAATGTCTTTATCTAAATATTAATTATCATACAAAGTGGCTTACTTACTTTACATTTAGTTTCATACACTACGGCTATTACAATTTTCAGGACATTTTGACACAGTGATTCCCTAATGTAATAAAACTCATGATACTAAACGGATATTTATATAAAACAACGTGAATTAACATCCAAATGATAAAGCTTGTCGTAATTCATAACAAGCAATTGATTTAATTATTACTAGAACTTAAAACAGTCAGCTGCTGTCAAAACTTACCCCTAAGGCACTGACAGAAATGATTATGCATTAGATACAAAATATAGCTTTAAATAATAATGTTATATACGTAATTGTAAAGAGTAAATAACATTCCTTTATATTTATAAAACAATTCGGCGATCATAAATCATAAAATGAAAGCATAATAATATAATTCTTAAGTCCTATATTATTAATGGACAATATTTCACTGGTCGTCTAAATCACTATTCTTGTGCTAGTTTATTGTTTTTCGTAAAATTATTATTAATGGTATTATTGCCCGCCAATAAATTAGGACTCCTCATAGGCACGTCACTAATGGATTCAATTTAATAATTGTAATTTGTCCATAAATAGATTTAAAACTAAATTTATTGCAATCATCAATCCAGTACAGGAATTTATTAATAACATAATATCTAAATATAACCTACTGCAAATTTTAAATTGCAACATCACAATATTACCTAATTTCCCTAACGATCAATGCTCCATCCAAACAAAATAATTACATAAATAAATAATTACAAAAATAAAAATCATTAATCGCTGCAAATTAATCTGAAGCATTTATATACGATAATGGATTCAATTCATTATTTCATTATATTCTAAGCAGTTTTACTTAATAATAAATGTTTTTGCATCGCACTATACAGTCCAAAACACGAGTTGATCTCTAGTACAAGCCTTTAGAAGAGCCATCTCAACTACACTGAGATTTTAATAATGAATGCAACTTATCGGCCACCCTTGCCAGTACGGTAAATGACATCGATCGCAAATGGCCAAAAAATCCGAGGTAGTCTAAATATCACTTCCCAATTCATTCATTCAAATAATCACAGGAACGCTTTGCAAACTTCTAAAGAGTCCGACAGCAGTGCAATCTATGTTAAACATGTCTTTTGACGATAGGTATTTGCAATTTGTACCTGTCCATCTACTTAACCTATGTTTGAGCACTTTTATGAAATGGGAAGTGAGAGGCTGAGTTTTCCAACTAGCCGTACAGAATTTTGCGGTAGTGTTTAGTGAAAAGACTATTACTAAAATATTGTCAGGAATTTGATGGATACTCATATGGGAAATTATGGCAGTATGAATTTCAAAGAGAAGTGAAATGCTCATTAGAAATTGATCAGCTATTATCCAAAAGTTAAAGAGATCGTTAGCCGAAGAAATGTGGAAGAAAGCTACCATCAAAATCCTGATATAAATGAGTATAAATGTATCACGAAGTGACGCTCGTGGCCGGCGGCGCGCGGCTGCCGTGCGTTACCTGCGCGCACGCACCGGCGCGGAATCACAGTTTAAAACTGCGGTACTTGATCCTGCCTTTAATGTATGTTATTTCTCTTCTAAAACCTACAGACAAAAGTTCATATGTTACTTATGTATACAAGACGCCTCATTGTTCGTTAGATGGGTAAATTCAAATGGTCACGTTATTTATGAGCTCCTTGAACATACCTGTAATGGACCGTTACATACGTCAGTGTTCTGTTTACTTGAAAGTCCAGCCATCAATAATCGTTCCTGTAAAATGCACAATGTTGTTAGAAATTAGATACCCAGGAGTCTAACTACATAATTATGTAACTGGAGCACCAGTTTAAAGTCATTTCTAGGTTTTAAGATTTTATTTCTGAAGTTATAATGGAATTTTAAACAATTAATTTCTTATGACTACATGAACTTAAGGTCAACCAGCGCGTCAACTAACTTTTCAACCTTTGAAATTCTAAATATATAATATTGTGTTACCTCTGTGAGCCGCTCCGCATCTGCAAAGCTGTGGTTGTGATTAGCCGCCTTAGCTTGCTGCAATTCTGCTTGCAGTGCGTCTATTTTCTTTTGCATCTGTACACATTACCCAACAATTAATTAATTCTCTTTTCCGGATATTGTAATAATTTGAGAGTACCATTGTCCATGTCACCACAACTCGAGAAGATATATTAATGCTGACGAGTTGGTTAAATTCTGAGTAACAAACGCGTGTCTTCCTAACTTGACGTTGGCAGAATCGTCGATTGTAATGTTTAAAAAAAGAAGTCAAGTAAATGCTGGCAAGTTCCCAATCCTAGAAAATAGGATTGGTATTAACTTTTGACCAAAGAACAATAACCAATAATACTGTATACTATAGGTTGTTATTCTTTGCTTTTGAAATTATATTATGTTCATGTTGAATAATTTTTTTTACTCAGCAACCCAGGAAACCTTTGAATTCCAACTGGACAGCTTTTACTGTCAAGAAGGTTAAAACAAACACCTCTTCAATACTCCACGAGTTTACACTGTTTAAGGTCAAAATGTACAGCACCCCTAGCTGTCACAAGGAGAAATACAAAGTGCCAAACAAATATCGCTATTGATTGTATATTATTCTTACAAAACTGACACTGGCCCAAGCCATCATCAACAATTAGAGACTATAAATATTGTAAACCCGTGTCAGGCGTTTCTCACACGCTGACTTCTATCTCAGTGACACACGACACTAGAACTTTAGCAATCTGACTCGTATGAAGTCATTTACTGCATCACACATATATTTTTTATACAGTGTGTTCATTTGCATTCTCGCCTTATTTAAGAAATTAATAATAGAAATGATGCTAAATCATCTAAAAATATTAAAAAATATATTCTGGCTAATTGTATCTAGTAAAGTTTTGCATAATTGTCTCAAGACGTATGCACCACGCAAGGGCAGTGATCCCGCTACCTGCTTCACCGAGCGATACGTAATCTTTCTCGATCGCTTATTTACCTATTTTTTAAATTATGATTATGTACTAGTATTGTTATAATGTACTGTTTATTTACATTAATTAGAAAAGTTGACTAAAAAAGTTTTTGTGACTTAGATTTGGTACATACCAACTTTAGGTTACATGAAAGTATTACTAGAAGTACCTAGTGGAGCTAGCACAGAGATTCGCACGTGTGTTTCGTTTCAACATTAGACTCCACACTTTGAAAGCAGAAACTTCAACACAAAACGTTTCACATCATGCCATAGGAATAAACACGCACATGTATTTGATGGATTACTATGCAGGTTCTAGAGAACCTGGTAGCGGTTCTTTTTTGCACTACTAACTCTTGTTTACATACCAAATCACGTGGCATTTCGTGACAGACTAGAATAAAATGTATGCAGGATGTCAGCGTGACGTAGACGCAGTACGGGAAGCAACGTCGACTGATCTACCAATCGCGCGCTGGATAAGACTCCTCGCCGTCGCTACCCACACCCCACCTCCAAATAGATCAAAAATGCGTTTTTTTTCTACGCATTTAAGGTTATTGTTCAAAATGTTTGCAAGTGCCGTGCAAGTCAAATATGACCTTTAGATCAAATTTGTTTATCGCAATTAATTTTTTTTTTTTTTTTTCAATTTATTTTTTTAGTGATTTGGGTTCAGTTTCGGATATAGAATGACCTCTGTAAATATGGCGAGAATGCAAATCAACACATAGTATAAAAAAAACTTAAAAGTTTGTTTAACCCTTTCGGTGTGTTTGTTACCGCGGTCACCTCAACGATAATTGAAGCGCATATGGAAGTCCTCGTCAAAACTAATCATATAAGCCCAAACACAAGGTAGCTGCTGTGCCATTTCTATCATCATTGTCATTGTATTTCATTAGAATTACATTTATGTGCGAAGTTTTATTCAAATCGGTTAACGGAAAGTGGGTGACATGCAATAGACCGGATTCATCCCCCAATGTACACCTAATACCACCCTTAGAGGAGGAATATTTTCTTCAAATTTGAATTGGATCGCTACTGAGGTACACCCTTTCCAACAAGCAAGTATCATCAAAATCTGTTCACAAATGTCGGAGTAATCGCGCAACATACACACAATAAAACATACATTAGAATTGAGAAACTCCTTTTTTGATGTCGGTTAAAAAACAATGCAAGGCATTACGACAACGCGACGCACGGCAGTTTGTGATGTTATTAGCGACTCCATGCAAACGAGTGTTACATGCTAGAATCATAGCATCAGGTGTCACTGTATGATAATATTGAGACAGCGTATAAATATGGTAGTTCACATCATACCTTCACCAACAAATAACAATCGAAACACAACAATATGAAAAACCAATATTTCATAAACCGGAAAAAACCGATAGTTTACACTGATTGTACAAATAAACGGAACATTTACAAGCTGGTAAAGTAAAGAATTTAGAGTAGACAAAAATTTACAAAGTACACATAGTGTGAATAAGTAAGTCTACCTCCTCTACGATTGTTGGCAATGATTTTTCTATGCAGGCGAATGCGAATGCCAGAGGTTCCTAAGTAAAAATATAGTTTTCAAACAAAACCTTTAAAAAATCTTTGTTGTCCATTTTCATTTACATCGGAATATTCGGAAAGTTTAAATTAGCGCAATTAAAGACAATACGATATCATAATATCATGGGAATGTGGACAAGAATGAGATGCATTCGTTGATCCCGTTTCTTATTAAACTCTTTAATAAGAATCGGGTTTAAGAAACGATTTTACATATCGATGCACTACTTTATCAAAATCGTATCTTAAAAAGAGTGATTATTCAATTGCTTGTCAAGGGTTAATTTAGATGCTTTATCATTTAAGACTAGGTAAAGCCAATGTGTAATATGAAGGAAATGTGATGTGAAATCACCCTGCAAAATTTGTATATAAATTGCATTTTAGTAAGTTTGTGCTTTAAGATACTAGTTTGAGAAAGTAAGGCGACGACATGCAGAATAGTTTTTAACTTAATCAATAACCCAATATTCAATCTTATTTGCTTTTATGTATGTGCAACATCTGTCAAACCTGTTGCAGAGTCTTCAGGCGCAGTTCGTCGAGCTCGCGTTGCTTGTCGGCCAGCAGCTCGGCCCACCGCTGTTCCTCCGTCGTCACGTTGTGTTGTAGCCGGCTCAGCACACCCTCCTATGCCAAACAACAACATTCTAGTATTGTAATATTGTTGAAATTAACATTTATTTTTATAGTTCTTATATAAAAAATAAGTAAAAAATTAAATACGTCGTCTTCAGAAATAGTAACAGTAGAGCTCGTTGTGAAAGGGTTCATCCAGGGTAATACCTATTTCTGTCGCCAAGCAATAATGTCAGCATTACTGTGTACCGATTTTGAAGGGTAAGGATGCTGGTGAAATTACAGGCACATGGGACTTGTCAACTTGTCTCAGGGCGACAGGCGCAGTGGCAGTGCCCCTCAGATCTTTGCGATTTAAAGCACTGAGTGGCACTGCAACTATTATAGATAAGCGTGTAGCTTACCATCAGGCGCACGACTTGTTCGTCCCGTGGCAAAAGCTGTTATAAGTATATAAATATTACAGTTTTTGTTGGTGAAGCAACAGTTTCACATCTTTATCGTACTAAACTTCACGAGCTAGCAGTCGCATTGCAGTTGCGATGCTGTCGGAATGCAGTTAATGTGACTATAACCCTTATTATGTTTATCTTTCATCAATACTTCCTCCAGACATTGACAAAAAAGAGTTAAGCGTTTTACGAAGTAAGTTAATAAATTAGAAAATGCAAAACTCACCGTGTCATCAATAATAGTCTTGTATTTATCGACGAGTCCTTGTAAGTGTTCGTTTTGCGCGGAAAGCTCCTTCACCCTCGAATCCAGTACACCTTCGGCCTTTTCCACATGTTTCGTTACAGTTTTGCCTTGGACTTGTGTTTCTAACTGCTTTTTCTCCATGTCCCGTTTTTCTAATTCGCGCTTGAGGTTCTCGGCGAAGGTCTGCAACCATTCGTGGCCTGTGGGCGAATTGGGCGCAGCTGATGGCAATACGTTTCGTAAAACACTCGCCACTTCGTTGTAATGTGCTTCCTGTGATTTCGCTATCGACTCCTGCAGACAAAATATTCATGAGAAAACTTATATATCTGCAGTACAAAATAGTGAGTTTTGAGCAAAAAAATATTGTTTTCAAATGGCATAATTTTCAAATGGTTAGTTCGTTCAAAGTTAGTTCAAAGAACCCATATCGGGAAATCGTAAATACTCCAGAATGCCACTTGCCCATATCGGATTGTACCACCCAAAATCCCTATTTTATTGAATTTTATTTCCATTTTTCTATTTTTGGCAAAAAGAAAATAGTTTTCCATGCTTTTAGCAACAAAAAATTTGCTTAAATCGTGATTTTAAATTCACGGCTTATTTTCCCGCCATTTTTTTATTTCTTTGTTGGCAATTTTCGGGGTGTCAAATTTCAGAGTGGCAACAGAAAGGATATTATTTTGTTGAAATAGATTTAATTTCGGAAATTTAAGTGTATCTCGTAACATATTTATTGTTCACTGTGCATATATTCGGATAAGGTATATACCGTGGCTTTTAATTGAACCTACATCATCCCTTTCGCCATCCATAAAAAGGACATCTCTAATGTTCATAAAATAATATATAACCTTATAAACTGCGCTAAAGATTTCTCAAAGCACACACACTAAATATTATTGGATACATATTAATGGAATGTTCAATTTCGATAAACAATACTTTATCATAACGTTCTAAGATATTTTTTTATTATATCACACAGTTTTCTCATCTCATCTCTAAGTGGATTGTAGGTTTGCTGACGCATAATCCTTGGTGTGTAGTTGTTTAAAGCGCATATAATATATCAGATACAAAGCGAAGCCGGCCAAAGAGTGTCATCGCTCGTAATGTTAGTGACATTGATTCGGTATGTACAAAAGGGACTTACGGGCATATCTTGGGCCGGCATCGCGCTTGCCCTCGATTGGAGAACCTTTTCGGTCGACTTTAACGCCTCCATTACCTTCCAGTTTTTAGTTCGCAACTCCTACAGGGATGGTAAAGTTAGTTAAGAAATAAAAAGTTATTAGTAATCGAAACAAAATGTTAATCAAAATAGTTATAAAACTAAAATGTTAATCAATTATAACTCATAGAACCAGGGATAATAAGATGAAATTTCTACCAAATAAAATGACATTCCAAATACCAAAAAAAATAATTAACAATCCTCCTTAGCAGTAATAAACTTTTCTTTACCTTAACTCCGATATGAAATAAGAAAGTTGTCTTAAAGAACTTAGGTACATTTTAACCGAAACTTATCTGCATTAAATTAAAGGAGATCCTAACGCAATTGACATAAAGGTGATTTTTATTTAATGTTCAAATATGGTCCATTTGAAAGCACCGATCATTTGGACGCTGTTTCAGATCACCAGTCTGCGGTTTGAGAGAAAGTGGTGGAGAGAAAAGTGCAACCCTTACGTCGTTCTTTTTCTGAAAAAGGACGAGCTGCTCCTGTAATTGCTTGAGCTGGTCGCGTTGTTCAATGCAATTCCGCGCCTCGGAGGCCAACTCGCTGCGAAGCGCCTCCACCACACTTTCCACCTTCGCTATCTCCGTGGCCTATCGATAAAATTCATGTAGATTGGTTTGAATTACCATCATTAAACATAATCATTAATTTTAATTATTAATAAATTTAACGTGAGATAGTTGTGCAGTTTAAAGTGTCGTGACTTGTATATTTGAATGAAGTAGTTCATATATAGTAAAACACGATTAACTGTCCACGAGATTTTTGACGACAGACTGTCGTGATAATGGGAAGAGCTAGAACGACAAACGTCAGACGATAAATAAAACGACATGATAAAAATGTGACGACAGAATAGATTATCGTAGATTTAAACAATTCTGTCGTGTACACGACAAGGCGACTGCCGTGAACCGATAAATTTTTGTCGCGATCTCGTGGGAACAGCTAGACACGACAGTCGTTCAACGATAAAATAAACGTTAAAAAGTTTTCAAATTTAGCCGATGACATGTATATAATTTCAAATGTACAATAGAAAACAATAGAAAAGTAATATTTTAATGTTAAGAATGTGGAGGTAATTGAAAATAGCCCCGTGTAATGTAAACTGAAATAAAATCAGTAGTTATTTATTTATTACATTTAAAGTAAACATGCACATTACGAAGTAAGTTGAACAATTAAAATCCGCGACATGGCGAGTATGTTTCTAGAGCTTTAGTATGTGGAAAACTGTTAAAAATATTTTGATTTTCGAAAGAGTCGAGAATAGCTACCAAACTAATGGAAATTATAATTAGTGATTTAAACTACATATAAGCCGTGAAAAAGGAATTTTTGAAACCTCAAATGATGACGGTACTAGATTTCTATAATATCTGTGTCATTGTTATCAATAGAAATTAGTTTCTGCGACCGTCGCGTCTAGCCTGTTCCCATATCACGACTATTTGTCGTGACTGTGTCGTGGATGTTTATTTTATCGTTGAATGTCTGGCGTGTCTAGCTGTTCCCACTAGATCGTGACAATTTATCGGTTCACGGCAGCCATTGTTGTTTGCATGACATTCTGTCGTTTGAAGTTGCTATTATCTGTGGTCACATTATTATCACGACGTTTTATTTATCGTCAGACGACTGTAGCTCTAGCTCTTCCCATTGTCACGACAGTCAAACGTCATAGCGAAAAAACAAGTCGTCAACGATCGTCTATGTGAACAACTTCAATTAAATATACAAGCCACGACACTTCAAACTGCACGACTCTCTGTCGTCACGGCATAATGGGAACGCGCCCTAAATCTAAAGAAATCAGCAGATGGAAGAATGGTAAGTATTCCTTTATACCTTGTGTTGTTCATTGGTAGGGAGTCCATTTTGTGCTGGTTTCATTGCCTTCAGTTCTGCTAACTCCGCCTCACGTATGGCCACTTCGTCAGCTAGCCTGCCCAATTCTTTGTTCATCTGTCAAATACGTTACTTTGATATAGTCTATATTTTTATCATACCAAGTGGCAGGATGAACAAGTCGTGTACTTGGTGGCAAGCGATACGTCTGTCTATAACAATTTCAAAGCTACTCAGAGCATTAAATCTCAAAGACCTGAGGGGCACTGCCACTGCGCCCGTCACCCTGAGACACAAGTTAACAAATCCCAAGTGCTTGTAATTTCACCAGCACCCTTACCCCTGAAAACTGGAACGTAGTAATGCTCACATTACTGCTTGGCGGCATTTTTCTTTAGTCAGTTAGATACCGCACGCAATGGTTCAACATTTAAAAGTTTAAAGTGGTAAGAAAAGATGGGTAGTCATACAAATTTCAGGAATTAGGTCAGGAAGTTATTTTTAACTTTGTAGTGTGGCAAAAATAAGGCTCTGTGTGTTCCAAAGAACTAATTTAAAAAAGCGAACATTTCCGAACATTTGAGAAAAAATAATAAACCATGATTACAACACTTATGTAGAAACCTACCTCTTGCTTCTGTTTGTCGATATCTTCCTTGAGTGCCTCGACCTGAGTTTCAGCGGCCTGCGCACGCGCCGTTAGCCGTTGCACTTCAGCCTGCAGCTCGGATATGCCATTCAGTTGTTCTTGTGCTTGCCGTAGTTCTTGTTGCATCCGTTGTTCTGCTAGGCTTGAGTCGTGGAGACGGTTTTTCAGCTCGTTGCATGTGTGATTCGCGTCCTGATGTAACAAAATAATTCCAGATTTTTAGAAACATATAGCTCTTAAAAAGTTTCAACCTAAAAAAACTGCCAGCTTTAGAACTATTGCTGTTCTGTTTTAAGTAATAAAAAATGAAAGGATTGCTTAAATCTTTTTTTACTGTGGTGGATAAATATTTTACCACGAAGAATGATAGAGTCTCACACACATATTTTTGAATAAAAAATTACAGTGAATTCATAACAAAATAAAAAATAATTTATTAATCACTTGTACCACTCAAAATTATCGTTCGGACCTTTGACTTACAAATAAATGGACGTCGGGTCCGCGCTAAAAAGTGTCCGAACTTACAGGGTGTTAAAATCGTATACAGAGCGTCAATCACGTTTTAGTCTTCGTTTGTTCAACTGACAGCGCGCTTGTCAATGATGCCGTATTGTGTAGTAAAACCTTGTAAAAATTACTCAACTAAAGTGAAAAAACAGGATGGTATATCATATTTTCAGTAAGTACTACATTGTGTTACCATAGTTATCATTTAAAAGTGTTATTTTATGCACTAGTATATATAGTATTTAATTTATATTTAAATTAATCGTAAATATAAATTACAAAAGCAATCAAAATAATCAAATAGCTACTGTCTCTTTCCGACTCATTGCTTGCGTAAAAGACTGAACGAGACCCATCACGTCAATTTCAATTGTTTGAAACACAACGCAACGCGTTTGAAATATTTAGAACAAACATTTCATAGAGTCGCTTTGATGCTAATGTTATTATTAAAATATTTTTTACTACATGTTAGTAATACTTTCAAATATTGTTGTACTCTTTCTACAGCTCGGGGTTATGAATCAGAAGACCGAAAATACATTTGCCCGAAATAACGTTTGCATGAATTTCCATAATCCCGAAAGTATTTTTTTAGGTTTTTCGGGAGAAATATGTGTATGGCCTACATTATTTCTTTCGTGAGTTTGGGTGTAATTTGTGGTTGTTTATATGTGTGTCCATGGCATCCGCAACACAGGGTTTCCCTAATGCGGGGCAATGTTGAGTGTGTGCGTTATTATAATTTTTATTACTAATTAGTACCTAAGTGTTTGTTTTGGAAAGCGTTTCTCTTGCGCAATCAATATCGTGCATTTTAATTTTGTAATTATCTCACAACGGCAAATACCCTACTACCACCATAGCCGTACTTTTTCATGCACAAGAAACATTTGCAAGAACTATGAGCAGTACGACTACGACTGTGGACGGAATCCACTGTCGTCAGTGATAAACCGTAATAATTATATTGCATCAATGTAAGCACTATGGCATATAGAAAAGTGGTGACGTTTTTGAGCGCAGCATAATTTCAATACTTTGCACGAACAGGTTAAGAAAATGGTAAGAAAAGAAAGGAAACCAGAGCTGATGCAAGCTTGATAAAAGACCATAATATTAAAGCTTTGGTATGTGATTACATCAATGAGTGAACTGTGCATAGAAAGGAGAGAATACAGGAATTTATCCAGGAAACATAGATTGAACTTAAGAAGAAAGTGACAAGTATTAATAGAGAATATCTTACACCGCCAAAATGCATTAATTGCAAAAAGATTTTTAATGCATTAATGCATTAAAAATCAAAAGTTGGATGAATGACAAAATATACCAACTTAAGAAACAAAAAAGGTAATTGAAGCAGACTGACAGTGAAAATTAAATAGGATTTTTTTTAAAGTTTAAGCAATTTGTAGCTTTCACATACAAAAAATGCATAATAATACATATAATACAACCTTGATGGCCTAACGGTTTGCATTGTGGGCACTGGATGAGAAGTTCCCGGGTTCGATACCGGTAGGATCAATTTAACAAATTAATTTTTCTAAATGGTTCTGGTCTTGGTATTCTAAGACAATCACCTGGTCTGAAACTAGGGAACTCTCTGTACATACTCCCCATGAGTATCAGAGCAACAGAATCCCAGAGCAGAACCAATTTACAAAAGTTCATTTCCCAAATTGGTTCTACTGGGTATCGAACCTGGGATCAAGAACGATGGAATTTATTCCGGGGCATAACTCAGAACACCCAGGCCAAAACAACTTTCGAAAAGTTCACATTTAGTTTTATAGTTGATTGAGCTGATTTTTTACGGTTTTTAAAAAAAATCTCGAATAACACGAGAAATCGGGGTACGAGAATTCTCGAAACTCAAGAAAAAAAAAGTCAGACACCCTAGCTCGTAATAAATGGCATTGTATAAAATTCAACATTTACGTATAAAATTTATTTATAAACAATAAAGGCTACTCCATTAAACTGGGTTCAAGTAGTTTTCACTAGAAGCTACATACGGGGCATTTTGGTAAGTTTCCAGTAGAAGCTGAATATGGTGTTTTTTTGCACCTTTCAATTGTTGCACGCAAAATTAGGCAGTACTGCAATGACATTACAATTTAAATGCAACGTTTTAGCTTTTTCATAATCTTTTACATGTCACTACGTTTAAATAGGCTGACTTGGGACATTTTTTTCGTGGTTTTTGTATTAGACCCGTCGTCCATTTATTTGTAAGTCAATGGTTCGGACATATAAATGACAATGTGTATGCTTCAAATGGTAGGCATCTGAGCTATCGGGATTATTTAAAAAATTGGTCAAAGCGTCTTAAGCAGGTCTTAAAAATATCCATTTATTCTTTTTTAACTTATTCATTGCGAGTCCACTATTATATGTTTTTGAAATATCTGACAAAGTTGGCTAAAAGACTATGTACCCAGCTGTTAAACACTATTTTTATGTCACTTCATGACGAGGTCGACATGTCCACGTCATAGAGAACCGCCCGTTTCTGTTTCATTTGTCTTGCGTCTCTGAAGAATTGCTATTTGTATTTTTGGTATATTCATCACTGATTTTGGCTATTCTTTACGGACATTCTCTCGAGTGTCGACGAATTGCGTAACGATTTGGTTTCTGACGTATTTTGCTACAGCCCGATTATTAGCTACAGTGGACACTGTCAAATCACGACAGTGCACGTTTCGTTGAACGCAGTATCGTTTACCTGTTGTACCGAAGGGGTTTATTTTTATAATTGTAGAATTATACTTTTCAGTAATTTTTATTGAAAATGAAAAGATTTCAATTAATGGATCTTTTCTTTACAATTTTAGAATTTTTTTGATAGAAGTTGTGCTTCGGTACGCAATTTAGGCAAAAATTGAACACCTCTTTTCCAGTTTAATAGTGGCAATCTTTATTGCTTAACTTGTGGCTGTATATGTATGAACTTCAGTAAATCCTAAGATTTTCCAGTAAAACCTAAGAGTTAAACCAACTCTCAATGGTAAAACTCCGAACATTTCAGTGGTCATCGTTCATTTCATTTCGAACTTTTACCACCGTTCACTTGGTAAATATAAAAAGCACGGTAAATGTTGAAAAAGGGTAAGGGTAAACCTGAAAACAAGTTCGGGAACACGGACAAATCGCTTCTACTCTTTCATATACTAACCTAACCTACTGAATAGGGGGCGCAATCAAGATTTGATCTACGTAAAATATGTTTGTTTTCGTTCAAGAAGTATTTTAACGGTGTTCTGAAAAGACTAGTTAGTAAAAATTTATAAATAAATATAGCAAAGGAAAATAATTTGTAAAAATAGGTATATGATACATAAAAATAGGACTTTGATTGATAGTTAATTGAAATAAAGTATTAAAAAGTACTCATTGTTTTATTCCCAAAACCAACGTTACGTTAACGTTACCAGCCATCAATAGTAAAACCTAGCATGTACCAAAATGTAAAAGCCCGAAAACATCGTCTCTCTTTTATAAATTCTTACATTTAACTGATGTCAGTAACTCCTAAGATTTACTGATAAAACCTAAGATTAACCAATACACGGGCTTTTGCAGTAACATAATTATATACCAAATTGTTAAGCCCATACATCGAGTATATAACCAGAAATAGAGAAATACGGGCTATTCATCCCTGCCAACTCATCAAGCAAATGATCCTCATATCACTTTTAAATATCAACTCTCGTTTGCACTGAAATCACAAATTAGAAAGCTGAAATAGTATCACACACACCTCAGTTGGTGGCGACCTGTGTATACGTCTCCGTATATTCCAAAAATATTCTGTATTTATTGTAATAAAGATAACATTACTAACTATGGGAGGCTGTTCCATTCGGTGGTGTGGGAAAAACTGCAAAACGTCTAATAACAAAATAAACGGTATCACATTTCATCGGTAATTAAATATTAATTAAATAATTTTCCAATCTTCGTCCATTATAGCAAGGCACAAGTGAAACTGGTCGATTTGAAGTAAAACAATGGACGACACCCGTCAATTGTTTCGAATTCGATCGGAGCGCAGTTGTCACCGTAATGATCAATCGGAGCGTAGTTGTCACCGCAATGATTCGGCAGAATAGTTTTCAAAGAAATTAAATGACATTTCGTCTCTATTTCTGGTTACATATTCGATGAGACCATATCAGAAAACTCACCTGCAGCTGCTGCATGAGTTCTGCGGCGTGTTGCTGCGCGAGGATTACGCTGTCTCTAGCAGCGCTAGCTTCGCAGCGCGCTTGTCCTGCCTCCAATACTCGTGCCTGTATTTCGGCTTGCAACGCCCCTAGCTGCGATACCAGTGTTGCTTCACTCTGTCAACAAATATTGGTCTGCAGACTTATGAAATTCATGACCGACTTGGTTGGTGTATCTCATAACGCAACCTTGTCTTTGACGTCATTTTTTTTAGCGACTCACCTCAGACAGTCTTTGAATATGCATTTCCATTTGCACTCTCTGAGACTGCGCTTCTCCCTCCGCGGCAAGTTTAGATTGAAGCTGAAACAAATTAATCTTAGTTATAATCATCATTCAGCCATACGACGCCCACTGCTGGGCATAGGCCTCCCCCAACGATCTCCACGACGATCGGTCCTGCGCTGCCCGCATCCATCGGCTTCCCGCGACCTCCACCAGATCGTCGGTCCACCTGGTGGGGGGCCTACCCACTGAGCGTCGTCCGGTGCGCGGTCGCCATTGAAGAACCTTTCCGCCCCAACGGCCATCGGTTCTCCTAGCTATGTGCCCCGCCCACTGCCACTTCAGCTGAGCAATTCTTCGAGCTATGTCGGTTACCTTAGTTCTCCTACGGATTTCCTCATTTCTGATTCTATCACGCAGGGATATACCGAGCATCGCTCTCTCCATTGCCCGCTGAGTGACCTTGAGCCTTCTTATGAGGCCTATAGTGAGGGACCACGTTTCTGATCCATATGTGATCACTGGCAACACACACTGGTCAAAGACTTTCGTCTTGAGACATTGAGGTAATTTGGACGCAAAGATTTTTTGGAGTTTCCCGAACGCTGCCCATCCGAGCTGGATTCGACGGGAGATCTCTTTCTCAAAGTTGGACTTACCTAACTGGACTGTCTGCCCCAGGTATACGTAATGGTCAACAACTTCGAGTGTAATGCTCCCAATTTTAACTGCTTCGAGTGTAATGCTCCCAATTTTAACTTAGTTATAAAACACAATCGTAAATATTTTTTTTAATTATCCTGGTTATAAGGCGACACGCCTGTCCATAGCAGTTGTAGAGCCACTCAGAGCTTTAAATCGCAAACATCTGAGGGGCACTGACAGTGCACCCGTTACCCTGAGACATAAGTCGACAAGTCCCCTTCAAAGCCGGAACGCAGTAATGCTCACATTATAACTTGGTTGGTACTTCCCCGGACGAACTCTTTCACAAGGAGTTCTACAACTATGAGCAAAGCTGAACATGTATTGACCTCCGTGGTCGAGCGACTTGCACATGGGTTTTCATGGTCTCGCCATCACTGAGATCCCGAGTTCGATCCCCCGGCCGGGTCAATGTTGAAAACTAACTTTTCTGTACTGTCCTGGGTCTGGGTGTTCATGGTACTGCCGTTTTTCAGATTTCCATTAAATAGTGCTTTAATTACTTACTTTGGAATCAGACCAGAGTATGTGATGTTGTCAAATATATATTATTTGTATGAAATATTTGTTGTTGCAATTTCAATTGCATTTATTTCAATGTCAATTTTTTGTGGAGAAATAAGCTTAACGACGATTACCATCATCTTGTCCTGCGCGAGCGCATGATTGTCGTCGAGCAAGCGCTGAATGCGCGCTTGCTGCGTGTGCAGCTCGGCGCGCGCCGCGGCCGCCGCCTGCTCCGCCGCACGCGCCGCCGCCGCCGCGCGCCCACGCTCGGCGTTCAAGGTCGCTCTGCGGACATACGCCCAACACTTGTAACACCTATTCTGCCCTCCCTCAGATAAAACCAATCTAACGCATTTGCATTTCAGTAACTTTCGAGATATTGGCACCTAAAGTACTTTTTGCTAGTAAAACGAGTGAAAAATGTCAATTACCCTGATTTTGCTTAAGAATAAGCAAACTAATGAAAGATATTAAAACCATTTTTCGATATAGGGGTGTTGTAAATTCCGTTTTTTGATCCCAGATATGTTACTAACTGTACTATACAACACGCTAAAAATGTCGATTACGTTATATTATTATGATAAGGAGGGCAGTACTGATTATTACATTATACTAACATTTTTAACTGGCAAACAGTACTATCACGTACTTTATTAAGGCGAAATGGTATCGTGGTTGCGTAGGCTTTGAAGCGTGTGAGATAGATGCGGAGAAATTCATTGCACGATATTCAAAAAATTGACTTTTAGAAATATAATACACTCTCTAACTGTAATAGTACATTGTGTATTAGGGCGGTAAATAAGAAATTGCTAACGAGAGTTTGTTAGAAGCTCGAAGCCGAAGGCTAGTTGTTTTTACCGCCCGTACTACATGCAATGTTTTTATCACATTTGTGAGGTAATAGATACAACGATAATTTATTTCTTGTGTGAATAAATTCGCTTAACACATTTACGGATTTTGCAAATGATGGGTTTTTTTTTTTTTTTTTTCTTTAAACTGATTGCCAGCTATTCTTCCCTATACATTCAGTCAAAAAAGTATCGTAAGTCAATGCGGTAATGGATTTGTTTAAGGTTCCAAATTCAATTTTTTTGTTATTGTTTGTTGTTTATTGGCACAACTGTTTTCCATTTTTGCGCGGAGTTTGAGTTGCGTCTGTTATTTAATTAAAGTGCTGTTTTTAGATAAATCATATCTAGTGTGTATCAACTGAAGTTAACATCGCAAAAGTGAAGGAAATAGTCACTGAAAATCCGCATTCAAGTTTGAGAGAGACAGCCGTTCAACTTTCTGTGTCTCACGAGTTGATCCGTACCATTTTAAATAATCACTTGGGTATGAAACATGTTGCCGCTCGGCTAGTCCCAAAAGACCTGAATTTTCTCCAAAAACTCAATCGCATAAGTCGCTGAGGACAAGCTAAAACAAGTCAATTCCGACCCAAATTTATGAAACGCATTGTTACTGGTGACAAGACGTGGGTTTACGAGTTTGACATGCAAGTTAGTCAACAAGCTTCGGAGTGGCGCCTTCCAACTGAACCGAAACCGAAAAAACCACGTCAAAGTCGATCAAAAGTCTAAGTCATGTTGACCGTTTTCTTTGACTATCGCGGTGTTGTGCACTCGGAATTCTTGCTGGAAGGTCAAATGGTAAATAAAGAATATTATTTGCGCATTATGCGGCGTTTAAGAGAGCAAATTCGACGAAAAAGGCCATCATTGTGAACGAATTTTTGACCAAAAACTCAACAAATACCATCGAGCAACCACCTTATTCACTAGATATGGCTCCAGCCGACTTCTTTCTTTTTCCTAAACTCAAATTACCACTTCGTGGCACACGTGTTTATTCAGTAGAAGACATAAAGGAGAATTCGCGGCGAGAACTGAACTCAATTCCGGAAAAAGCGTTTAAAAAATGTTTTGATGATTAGACTTTTCGTTGGCGTAAGTGTATCGTTTCTGAAGGAGCATACTTTAAAGGCGATAAAATAAATTTGGGTGAATAACTAACATTTTGTGTATTATTATTTTTTTCCTGCACTTTCTTGACAGAGTAGTATAAAATACTAGACACAACTAGAAATAAAATGTTATAAAAGGCACAGACGCATGCAGCCACATTGTATTAGATATAAAATAAATAATTTCTAAGTTCTAAAAATACTGCTGAATGTGAATTCACAAAATAAATTCAGTGAAATAAAATTGCAAATGTTTAGTTTTTTATACTTCAACTTGATGCGAAATATACGTTCAGATTTTTCAAACATGAAAACTTTTTGCTTAGTCTTGACGTAAATATCCATAGGGCGATAATGTAATGAAAAAACCCGTTTGACTAATTTTGGACATTACGATCGACTTTGCCTGCATGTCTGCAAGTGTGATGAAAAATAAGCTTAAAGTCCCCTAAGTATATATTACGGATCGCGCGGGAGGGAAAATTTCATTGAAATATCTCCAATAACAATTAAATGAAACGAAATTTTTCATAGATCGTAAAACGTAGATCTACGTAGAATAGATTTTAACGTCGTAAAAAAATAAAATTTTGGGGAACTTATGATTTATTTTTTTATGTGCGAAGTTTATTACAGTCAATTGTGTTTTGAACCCTATTGTTCACTACCGGTGTCTTATGTTTTAACTATCAATAAAAAATAATAATTTGAATTAGTATTTTTTAACGTCGAAAAACCGATTTACCGTGTGGCAGAAATACGTCAAAACGTCCATTTTAGGTCGCACTTCACCTGTATATTGGAACGAACACACTTCTACTTTGAATATTGTACAACACAGCTGTTAATTAAATGTTTTCAATTTGATACAGGGCGAACAATTTTTGGTAGATTACAGATTACATGACAACTAACATAGTATTCTCCAAAATTACGTTATATTTTATCTAAAAAATTGCGTTATATATGTATGTATGTCATTCGTATACGATTTTAATTCTTGCGCAAAAATCGCCGATAATAAATAAATAAAATGTCGAAAATCGTAGAAAAACGCCTTGACTTTTGGCATGCAAAAACGATAGTCGTACTTGTAATATATCTATGATGGTGTTTCGTATCATCGTTAAGTCTTATTTTATTTAATTTTAATAAATTATTAATTTTCTTATTATCGTAATATTTTTTGTTACAAGAAACGAAACTAATACAACATAAATGACGAAGATATATGGCCGCTTCTAAAAAAATAATTAAATTTCAATAAAATCAAAACTTGCAATAATAGGTATTGAAGTTTCAACGATATGTGAACAGGGTAAAGTGTAAATTATATTAAGTTCAAAATTTGTTATTTGTTTTAAAAATTATAAAGTACGATTAATCATTATCAAGATTTCATTTTGTATCAAATTTTCTTCCGCGCGAATGACATACATGTAACGAAATTTTCAAGACAATAAATGTGCGACATTAGTAGATATCGACTTACAAAAAACTTTTCAAGTTAGTATGTTGCAATCCTGTTTCCATACAAAAGTTTTTGCATTCACGTGTTCAGTCCCTTTTTTGCTACTTAAATATACTCAATATAAAAAACAATAAAACTAAGGCCAAACTTTTTCAGGCAAATTATTTTTGCATAAAAAATCAAAAATATTTATTTATATTTATTACGACATCACTGTGTTAGTACAAAAGACAACGATTGAATTATTGTATGAAATCAAAATTACACAGGACATTAAACATACCTAAGTTCCTTCAGCTTAGCGTGCAAAGCTTGAGATGCTTCTATTTCGTCAGCAAGGGCCTTCTCCTTGTCAGCGAGTTGCTTCTTCAATTTCTGCATAGGATCGTTGGGACCCTGTGTATAGAGCATAGAATGTCGCTCGGTATTTATGAGAAAAATCTAGTTTCAAAATTTTTCTAAACGCTTGGTACACACCTCAGTCCACTCGGAGTGCTGCGGCAGTGGGTCGTGGTGGCGGTTAAGTAACGCGTCGGTGAGAATTTGTATCTCGGTCCGTGACAGCGGCGCCTCGCGTACCAGACGCACTAATTCACCCACATTCACACCTCCAGTGGCGCCTTCACCGGCTGCAATATTTTAGAGCGGTTACAAACGGCGATTTTTAGCAGCGATGCAAACGCAATGCAAACGCGATGCAAACGCAATGCAAACGCGATGTAAACGCGATACAAACCCAATACAAACGCGATGCAGACGCGTATAGAGACTTCTTGTATATAATTAACGTATTCTTGTATATAAGTAACGTACACACTCAACATAGCCCCGCACTAGGGAAACCCACACAAAGACAACCACAAATTACACTAAAACTCACGAGATAAATAAATGTAGGCCATACAAATATTTCTCCCGGCCCGGGAATCGAACCTGGGACCTCTGTGTGGCAGTCCGGCATGGTAACCGTTCGGCCAAGGAGGCAGTTTATTCAACATAAGCGACTGTATCGATGCAGTCGCCGCGTGAAACCACTCTTAGTATTATCAATCTCTAGAATACTTGACACATTTTTTAAAATAAAAGATATTAGGAAATTAAACTATTTTTCCGGATTTAAATCGCGTATATTGGTTTTTTGGGACCTGAAAAGGGCCCGAAACGTTGGTTTGTTTGAAAACAAAATACGCGATTTATATCCGGAAAAATAGTATCATTTCCTATGTGTAACAATCGCGAAAACCTAACAACCTAGAAAGACAAAAAAATATATACTCGCCCATAAGAGAAAGCACATTTGGTTCTGGCTTTTTCTTCTTGTTCTTTCCACCAGGTGGCGAAGCAGTATTAGCACTGGTCGCGGAAGCCACCTGCTTAAGAAGCTTTTCAGTCGTCAGCTCGCTTGGCTGCGGTGCGTTCAGTGGAGGTACTATCTCCTCACGCGGGGCGTCCACAGCATCTTCGTTAGATGGCTTCTTTTCTATTTTTTTAGCTGTGAAATAATATTGTACAGTAAATAAATTAGTCATCTATAGAAAGAAGAAATAAAACGGCTAGAAAAATACAATCTTACTTTCAAAAACTGATTGTTAAATCCTTTTCTGCATAAACCATTAGAGTTTGTGAAGGATTCTAGAAATATTCTAGTAAAAGTAAAAAATTTCTGCCTCCAAGCAGTAATGTCACCATTACTGTGTTCCGGTTTTGAAGGGTAAGGGTGCTGGTGAAATTACAGGCACATGGGAATTGTCAACTTATGTCTCAGGGTGACGGGCGGAGTGGCAATGCCCCTCAGATCTTTGCGATTTAAAGCTCTGAGTGCCACTGCAACCGTTATGGACAGGCGTCACTTGATATTATAAAATTAAAAATATATATAAAAATACCTTTACGTTGCTCCTTTGGAGCCTCGCCGCTGTTGTGTCGTTCGCGAGGTACCTCCTCCTTGGCAGCTTCCGCAGGCTTAGCTGCAGCCTTACCGCCCTTAGGTTGCTTCACAGCTTTAGCATCTTTCTTCTCAATAATTTCTTCCTTTTTTTCCGTTGCCTAATTGTAAACATTTCTTTACATTACACTATTATTGAAATTAAGGTTATCAACACCAAAAGATAATTTTTTAATTCATTCAGGTTATCACTGTCTGAGGTAAATATAAAAAATGTAACAAGACATTGACCAACATAATTGTTTTATGGTCACAATGCATGCTCATCCATTACTTCAGATAAAAAAAACATGCTTTAAGTTCAACAGTAGACTTGAGATTGAGAATGATTTTAGAAAGTGAAGTAGAACTTGGCGGTAATAATGATATTCATGCATGATTTCATGACAGTAAATAATTTAATGATTACGGAAGGAACATATACATGTAAATATAACATAACAACGTAAAAAAAAATATACTGCCACCTACACAACACTACCTACCCAACACTACCTACCCAATTACAATACAAGGCAAATGTAACCGCATAAAAGAAGTAAACTCTGTCAAACAATATTAGACCAACACCAAACAATAAAACATACAAGACAAATTGACATAAGTATATGGGTGCTAATTTGTGACATTGTGTGGGTGCAATTCTAAGTTCATCATAAATCATCCCATATAATAAATTTGCGAAGTAAAAATGTCTACGGCAACCAAATCAAGGGACCAATAAAAAAGGTTACGAGAGCCTTTGGGGTTTACTACACTAACGATTTATGATAAAAATGTCGCTGAAAAGGCAAGTCTGTGGCATAGTAATAAAAACTCCGCGTTATCTAAATGAAATATCTTGAATATCTAGTTGAAGATTGCAAATCTAATGGGACATTTACGATGAACACATGAATTTTTGCCACGTAAGTTATAACATTTAGTAATCTGTGTTAGCTAAGTTTGCACGGCACCTAAGACGAGTGTGACTTTCACTTTACGTTTTAATTGTTTAATAGTACAATTTTATGTATGTCAATTTGTGCTATGGAAAAATTACACTCGCCTTCTATTAGTCTTGAAAGTTAATTGCTGACCCTTATCTATAAACCACAAAAAAAAATATTCTCAAATAATACTTATAATTGCAGACGTGGTTTACGAAAAAAGACGTTAGGTTTCAGAATACATAACATTATACTAGATTTTTCCGCTCAATACAATACTATTGTTTAGTATATTTTAAACCTCATTTGGAATTAGTTGTGTTTTGATAATTTAGAAAAATTAGGTCAACAACTAATTTTGTAGACCAGGAACGAGCGCCGCGACTCACTTTTTCGGCTGCGAGGGTGGAATGTTGCAACTCGAACTCGTCCTTCGGGTGCATCTCCTCAAAGTGGTTGGAGATAACATTCTCGGGCGTGGAGACCGCGCTTGGATCGCTTACGCAGCTCGGATCCTCTTTGTTTAACAGTATCGGCTTTACTTTAGGATCCTTGCCGCGTTTGCGGATCTGCAGAGAGATGCCTTGTGTACTAACCATAACCTTACTGACACTTTATTTCATGTTGTAGGCGGACCGTAGTACCAGTCAAAACACGATGTGCCCACTGTCGACCCCGAAGTATAAGCGAAAACTCAGGGCTCCCATTACAACGTTATCTAGAAAGTTATATATTTGCTCATGGCGGTATAATAGTAGCCCCCAGCGTCATTTATATAACAAGAATTAAAAACTACAGAAGACAGTATCAACCAATTTGTAATATATTAGGAGAAAAACAAATTAACACCACCAGAACTTTTTACTTAAATTACATATAGATATTGTGGAATATTATAAATTACAACGAATTTTAAATATTAATCTGATATATTTATTCAATTAAACTTTTATATAAGTAAAGAAAATAATGTAATATTTCGAAACAATGCAATGGAAAGATTTCAATGTAATCATGCATGACCAATTATATCATTAATAATATTTTTGTTTCTTGTATACCTTTTCCCATACCAGTAATAATGTGTGCATTAAATTGAACGTCCATAAAAATAAAAGGAAACATGCTATTATGCAGTAGCAGTGGAAGTTTTCCAATAATAAATAAATATATAATAGGCGACTGTTATTCAATTACGAATCTCGATACCTTCACGTAACATAAATATATAATTCCCCCAACTCAAAAACAGTTTTATAAAATCACAAAATACGTTATAATAAAATTAGCTTCTCTGCTACATAATTGATGATTTTAGAGTCTCTGTAATGCAAGCGTGATTGGCGAATGCAGAAAAGTATAATATTCAAGTATAAATAGGTAAAACAACCAAAAATGTTTTGGACGTAAAAGCGATATGACGCGAAAGACGTACCTATATTTTTTATGGTGTAATTACACCAACTACTACGTATGTACATAAAAACTCTTCGTTATTTTTGCACGTTCATTCAATCTGTTCGTAATACATACATACATAAGTATAATGGGTACATGAACTTCGATAAATAAAATTAAACACAAATTTTCATTACATAAAGTTATATAACATTTAGAAAGTTCAAATTCAAAATAATCTTTATTTCATAGGTAAGCATTATTACACTTGAAATCGTCACAATGGTTAAACTCTACCACTCATTCGTAAGGCAGATTACCCTGAGAAGAATGAGCAAGAAACTCTAGGGGTTGCTCTTTGTAAATAACATTTACAATACTTTTTTTTATTTGAAACATCAGAGATCGAGATTACCTCCATGAGCTAAACGGGTTGTTATCGTCAGTCATTGGAGCTTGCAACAACATATGATAGGGCAACAATAAGAGCGTGTGGTGTATCACGCGGTGTACACGATAGAGGTCGTACTTCATTGGTTTACGACATTGTCAAGGTGAAAACCAATTAACATGGACATACAGATCCGACAACTCTGGAAGCGCAACAAGAATACAGCTATTTAAGTATAGGGCCCTGAACTTCTGAGGCTCCATAATACAAACAAATATTTTATTTAAAGAAAAGTTAAATGATTGAGATGTATAAATTATGGAATTTGAAGGGCTCTTGTGTATTGAGCTAATAATTCTGCCGCCGGGCCTGTTGGCATCCATTGGTAATGGGCATACATATCTTCCAATTGTCGTTGCATTGATGAGTCAGACTAAGTAATACGATGTCGGGGCATACAGACTTGTTCATACAAGGACATTTGTTATTTAATTTGTTATGTTACTTTTGAAAGAACGTTAAATCTTAAACCAGAAAATAACTCACCTCTAAACCAAAAATATAAATCTGATATTTTATAACATAAGTAAACTATCTCATAAAAATAAAAAAGTATCATTCTGGGGCAAAATGTAGTAAGAAATATTATCTGTTGCCGACAAATAAAGAATATAATTTCTCAAAACTGCTATAACAAGTTCCAGTTTTCTAGAATGCCAAAATCAAACAGGTTAAACATGAATTAGCTTTGACTTTGGTTGTAAAATAGCTTCTTGATAATGACCGTGTGTTCATGGGTAATATGCAAAAAAATATAATCCTACCTTGACGTTAGGCGGGGTGTCGGGCACATCTACGACGATCGGTGGACTGAACTCCACGTGCGGTTTGGTAGCGGGAGCAGGGTCTTCATCCACACCGCTCTCGGCGAGTGCCTCGCTCTCCACCTCGCCAGTGCCAGTTGTTATAGTGGCCTCTCGTTTCTCCTTCTTTGCCAACTGCAAACATGGAATTCGTGTCTATTGTATTGTTTAAAACAATAATGGAACAGTTCATATATAATATATGAAGTATATATATATATATAACTCCTGCTGCTCCTCTGATGAAAATTCCCAAACAGACATAAGATTGCAGTACTAATTAATATGTTTTAATTTCTTCTAATTTCTATTATTAATTATTAATAAATTGAACTTAATAAAAATTCATTCAAGAAAATAATTTGTAAAACGTAATGTAACATAATTGGAATGTTTTCTTTATAAAATTAAAAATAAGGTATTTAATTAATATTTTTTGTAACTATACTGAAAAAATAAGGTGCTTTGCATTAATATTAGACATAACTGGTTGACGACTGTACCACCTCAGTCAACTGTGACCATGGGACCTGCGAAGGGCCCGAAACGTCGGTTTGCTTGACAAAACAAATATACGCGATTTAATCCGGAAAAATAGTTTCATTCCCTATGTGTAACAATTGCGAAAACCTAAGAACTCGACAGTTCATATCAAGTTGTTTGTAACGCTAAGTAGCTGTTCACTTTATGATCTCTGATATTTACCAGGACTCAACAACACTGTTGTATTTACAGAGCGTATAAGAGATGTGTAGTTGTCAGGGTCGTAACAAGTCGAGTTCAATGACCTCTACCTATCAATGAAAGATAACATATACTTGGATAAAACAAAATAGTGATTTTACTGTATAATAACTAATTATATCAATCAAAATAATTTAAAATACACATTCTGATCTATCTAAAGATTAGAACACTTACTAAGAAGATATATTGATTTAATTTAGAGATTAAAATAAAAAACAATTAAGGAGACGAGGTACCTACTATGTTACTTAGATACCTAGGTGACACAGACAATGTCATAAAGGCACTCAGCGGACAAAGAGTAAAGTATAAATAAAAGCTGCTTTTTAGTCACACACAGAAAATAATATATGTATATAGGTACCTTTGCCTTCTACATAAAGCAAGAGACTTGATAGCATTCAAGCTGTGTCAACAGATTTGAACTAACTATATGATTTACTTACCTAAACATCAGATATGGAAAATAATCTAAACTGTCTGTTAGTACAACTCTATGCCAACAATGGCTATTTGCATTTTTATGATGCTTTAAATTGTATTTACAATAAGAAAAGTTTCCTTAATATGACATATCTCTATTACGACATTTTATAAACCATAAAGTACCATATATTGTTTGTATATAGAGTTAAATAAATTGCAAAATCATGAAATACCTTATAACCATTCAAGTGTCTAGTGTACATAACATTGAGATAAATTCACCATACCATTTTCAACATTCTTATGAGATATATGTTGATAAAAGATAGCAAAATTATACTACACACAAGATTGTAGTAGACTTCAATTACAATTACTGGCACAAATTCTGCATCTTATGTTGGTTGTTAATTTGGTCACATTGATTATGAAGGGTAGATAAGTTGTATTGTTTAAGATTATTTAGGGCATGTTATAGCACTAATTATACCACTGAATTAATTTATAAATTCACTTGTTTAATTTCTACGTGAACAAATCAAGGAATATAATTTTCTCAAAAAGTCCTTGTGCATTAGAATGGATGATCAAAATTTTAGAATAAAAAGAGTTGTTGTTGATCTCATTCATAGGAAACCGTTATCAGACTATGGCTTATCTGTTTGAAATTCTCTATATGGAGTGTTACATAGATAAGCCTAACTATATACTGGTGTTAAGGCTGGCTGGCTGTAAGTTTTGTATTAAAAATATCTATTAAAAAGAAAAGACTTTGGTGACCAATATTGTTGAAATTGAACACTTCTAAACATTTCAAATGTAGCTATGAACTGATAAGAGCTGGCTGTACCCACATACTTAATTCCTCAGTAACAAGTGTAAATTTCTTCTTATTTTAGAGATAAACAGGGAAAGAAGCACACTTACCTTCTTATTCGCTTTCTTCTCTTTTTTCTTCGGCTTGTTCCTGTTTTCAGCTAAAGCAAGAAGTTCAGTGGTGGCTCTTCGCTGCTGAGCAATTGCTTCCTCATAACTGGTGCCAGATGCAGAAAATAGTCCCATCAGCAGTACGACAGCAACTCCAGCTACACCTACCCCGCATAGCACTAGCAATGCCTGCAGCTCCATTGGATCTGCTGCACGCTATCCCTGTTTCAATTCAAAACCTTATTGTGTGCAACATGATCTAAAATGAAACTAAGTTTAGGTATTGAGACTTATTCTCAAATAACATTTTCCTGCAGACAGCATTATGATAATATTAAGCAATATTTCATTTAAAGACTCAAACCATCATAAAGTTGAGCAAAATTAAAATAATAAGTACAGGTACAAGATATGAAACTGAAGAGCAATCTTTCTTATTGAAGAACCTAAGGTAATAAGAATCTAAGGTAATACATTTATAACCATTGGGTTAAAAAATTATTACCCGAGATTTATTTATTTTATACACATCTTAACAATCGCAACATATTGTGGGACCCGAATGGAAGATTAATTGTTGAATCAAATAAGGTGGCAATACTTCCTTGGATGAACTCTTTCACAAGGTGCTCTTTATTTAGTGTATGTCATGATTTAGACCTTCCGATGATGCATTATGATACTTTTACTAAAGTTATTGTGCACGAGAATCCAATTCCATGTATAAAATAATGGAATAGGTATAATGGTAATTCCCCTAAAAAAATATGCTTTAATAGTAATTTATCTCTATTACTAATAAAATATACTTTTGAGTTATTGTCACTCTCCATGTCACAGATTCATACTGATATTCTATTCATTTATAATATATAATTGTAATGTGTGTTAAAGTAGTGTAATGAGGCAAATATATTTAGCTAGTTCTTCACAATACGATAGCTACGAACCATTTAGAATATCAAATCAGAAAGAAAACTACGCGATATACTGCGTTCTAGGCTCAACAGGATATTCTTCTCGCAATCCATCTAAAGATGATCTAAGGTAAAATAATCGATTTTGAATACAAATTAAAGCTTTGATATACTTACGACTCAACTCTAAGGCAACGCAGCGTTTTTCAACCGGCGAAATAACGTTTCTATTTCACAAAATACCGAGAACAACTCCACAAAATGAAGGTATGAGATGACACGTAAGCAATGACACATGTCAAAGGTTATTGACAGCGCTTTCGCCCGAAAGTAGTTTCAGTTCAGCTAATCCCAAAATTATTAGAAATCTACCGATTATTTCAATCGTCTACAAACTATCTGATAAATATTATCATGAGCAATAAAGATATTTCTATATCTCTTCAGTCATGGATATCAAAAATCAACCACCATTTTCAATGAGGCGAAAGATAATTTCTTACCTGTATTATGTAAATAAACCGCAGAATTTATAGTGTATTGAACTAAAACTGCTTTATTTCATTTAAAAACAGTATGACTCACACATAAATAACAGAAAAATCGAGAAAACTAATGTATTCCGTACACCGAGACACCGACCGACAGCGGGCTTCTTTTCTAATCGGATCTGAATTCTGCTGTTCTGTCTGAATTTTGATCGGATCCGGATCGGACGGAAAACACCGGACATTCACGAAGTCTGGAAATTGCATGAAGCAATTTATACGAAATGAAGAGTTAGACAGAGACAACGCTATACACAAACGCTTAAAAACGAAAAACAAATTTCTACAAGTGTTACAAAGTTTACAATTTAAAGAAGAGAAGAATTTATTTATTATTAACGCTACCATTCCTATGCAAAGAAAAAGATAAACTGAAACCATACCGAAAAGCTATTTCTTTCCTTCCTTATTGTTTTCATTATTTTTGAGAAAAATAAATGCATATCGGTTTTCTAAACGAAAATTCAATGGCGACCAAATGACAGACAGCTGTTGACAATCAGTCGTCGTAGCAAAAATTTCGTCAATTATTCCAAACAGCTGTCCTTCTTTATTAAAACAAAACTAAAAATCTGCTGTTATGTAGTTATTGGCTGGATTATACAAGCCCTCTAGTGTTTTAGTGCTAATATATGGAAACGTCAACGCGTTTACTAAAGCTACCTGTGAAAACATCATCAGTTCGTAGGATTTTTGTGTTTAAGAATGTCGATTCCTCCACTTGTTTGTAGTACTCCTCCGCCACCTGACCAGTGCGAAGATGATAAAGATCCAGAAGATTTTGATTTGCAGTACAATTGTAAGTTTAAATAGCTCACTCGACTTCTTTTAAGTAGTAACAATGGAACCAAAACAATATGGGCAAGCCAATATTTTTAAGGATTAAGATAGCATGAGGTAGTAGATACGTAGGTACTTTGTGAGTGGTAATTACTTAATCTCCTTATTCTGTTATGTGGTATTTAAATTAACTAAGGATCAGTCTGAACAATAATAGCTTTATGTATGTAAGTAACAAATGGTACATTACCTTAACTGTTGTAATGTTTGTTTTCGAACAATATTTTTCAGTGTCTCAAGATGATGATGAAAATTATGATTATGGAAGTTTTTCAACATACAACCACTTTCAATCTGCAACTGAAATGAAAAAACCAGAAGTTCTTATGGACACCATAGCCAAAATTATAGAAAATGAAAAAGTTGATGAATCACAACCTGAAAACAAAAATGGCATTGACCTGGAACTTGGTTCTAATTCTATTGAGAGCAAACTGAAATTAGAAGATGAAGTTATTGAGGATTTAGATTTAAAAGTTGATGAGGAAGTTTTGGGTAATACAGATGAGGTTATAAGTGAAAGTTGTATAGAATTTGAAGGACATGATGCACCCAAGTCAGAAGAAATAGTAGGAAAAGTAGATACTCCAAACATATCTAATATTGATCAGGAACATTTAACCCCTTCTGATTTGCCACCTAATGACATATTAACTGAACTTCCTAGTTTAGACCAAATTGATGAACCTTCATGTTACATTGACGAAATAGCTGCGGAAACTGTTAATTTGAAACACACTGATGGTTTGGCTCTTACTGAAGATTTACAAAATTTCCCTCAAGAACCCGTAGATGTAAAAGAGCCTGTTGTAAAAGATACTTTAAAAGACACTTTAAGTAAAGATAATGACTCACAAGATAATGATGATGATTTTGGTGACTATGATGAGTTTCAGTTTGCAAGTGTTAGTGATAAAACTACCATTGTTATTGACAGCTGTGAGAACCCATGGGGCAACAGTGAGTCAGCTGATAATGACTTTGGAAACTTTGGTGATTTCAAAGCAAGTTTTGATAACAGTGAAGTCAATATAAATGAATCTATCTCAAATGATGATGATGTTATAAAAGAAAGTGAAGTGCACATTATAGCTGAAAACATTCCAGAAAATGATGATGATTTTGGTGATTTTAATGACTTTAAGACTGGATCTGCACTTGATGATCCTTCTGTAGGAACAGAATTAAGAGATGATGATGAATTATCTACTCCTCCTCCTTTACTGACCTTGCAATCTCTTGAAAGTGAAAGTGAATTTCAAGAAAGAGTGAACAGTTTAATTAACAATATATTCTATGAGGAGATGCCTGAACATGGGGAGGTTTTTGAGGGAAGACTTGAGACACAGTTGAGTGTGACATGGGGACATTTGCTAGAAGTTGATGTTAGACAGCCATATATGGTGAACTGGAACAACTCTTTGGCACAGAAGACACTTTTGAAAGCTCTTTGTATAGATTCAAGAAATATTGTAAGTGGTTTCATCTTTTAAAAATACCTATTTTTATAATTCAATAGTAATATTTAAATCCACATTACAATGCAGTGAAGCGTTCGAACAAACTGTTAATCGTAATATATGAGTGCAATAATTTCCTAATTCATTTTAGTTATTTGGACCAAAATGGAGTTCTAACATGCCTAAATATGCTGCAACTCTAAGTGCAGCACCACTTCAACCTCAAAAGCAAGCTGCTCTGCCAAGTACTTCCCAAAGTGAAGCTGTAGCTGTAATGCCCGAGAAGACTGCCAGTAAATCTGCCAGTACTTGGTCAGACCCATTTACATCTGATGGACAAGAGTGTAAGCAATTTCACACAAAAACTTGATAAAGATAATGAAAATAATTGCACTGTGTGATATAATAAAACACAATGCACTTTACACTATTCAAGTATTTACACCATATTATTATGATTATCGTACTAAAAATGTCTGTACTGACCTAATGTTATTGAATAGTTATTCAATAATTTTATGGTTTATGGACCATATCCTGAGTACATGGCATGGGTAATATCTTCTTTGTAACATACGGAATAAAAGGCGAGTGCAAATTGTATGTGAGCGCAATAATCGCAATATTCTACAGCTTATTAACTATAAGATTTACCTCAATTACTAAGTGCTCACAAAAGTCTACTTCAGCAATTTACTCAAAGAATCAGAATGATAGTCTTGAGAGTTATTTTTAAAACTATTGAAATTGTGACGAATAAGGCCACAGTTGATTGCCCACACCAAGCCGGCACTACACTACATCAGCCTTCTAATTATAGCGCTATACATAGGCTTCTTTTAAAATAGGATTTGCTATGTTTCACTTTCTTGATAAAGATAACCAACAGCACTGCCACAATAATGCAACATTGCCATAATTCCATGGGCCTGCTCAAACTGGGAACCTACTTTACTTAATATATACTTGGAACCCATACTGGTAGTGGCAAGCACTTAATTCCTTGAAGGCCTCAATCTAAATAGCATAGTGATGCTAATGCTTGTTAGGCGGTGTGACAAATACCTACGAATACTATGCTGGTTATAATAGAGTTCCTCTTATTACTGTTTATTCAGTACTGTCAAGATATTCACCATGACCTAAATCAGAACATTCAGAGCATCAAAGATATAAGCTAATAACAATAATGTACTGCTAATTCAAGGCTGTGTTCTCACCGTAAAATTCTTTTGCATGTCTTGCACATGGACTATTCACCTGTAAATTCCATTACCTACTCCTTTAGTCACTTATGCCGAAACCCTACTCCTCGACTTAGAACACCTCATGGCCACCCTAGACCAAATGGCTCACAACCATTCCAACTTCAAAATTTCAGAGCTATTGTCACATGGTGAGTTGTAGTATATGATTTTATGTTATATAGAGCAAGGGCAATTTTACATTTGCTACGATTACATGATTATTAAGATGCTCTCATGCTTGGGTGAACTCACGTTAACCCGCTACCGTTACTGCGTCCGTCGGTCCGAACGGTTACCATGCCGGACTGCCACGCAGAGGTCCCAGGTTCGATTCCCGGACCGGGCGAAATATTTATATGGCCTACATTTATTTCTCTCGTGAGTTTGGGTGTAATTTGTGGTTGTCTATGTGTGTGTCCATAGCACCCGCGACCCAGGGTTGCCCTAGTGCGGGCTATGTTGAGTGTGTGCGTTATTATTATTATTATTTATCTATGATAAAATCAGGATTCACTTTAGACATTGCAGGAACAAACATTTACTCGTATTATGATGATTTGATATATTGCTTGCACTTATCTATCTTAATCACTTACGAAGTTCTACATACACAGTTCCGAAAAACTTCTGTAGGTAAAAATAAATAAATACTTGGTGTCTAACGTCAGTTATATAACGATTCCGTAAGGCAGCTAATAGCTAAGGTTTTACTACAACGGGTGATGCATATAAGGATATTATACTCTGAGTTTCCTCAAAAATTATTACTGGTATCTATTGACACGTAATATGTGTTAGTAAATAAATTGTTATTATTTCCAATTTCAGCCTGCAACAAAGAAACGGCAAGGGAAACCACCATCGCAGAACCCCGACCGACTGATCTAGACGTATTTGAGGCTCCAATGACAAAAAAAGCTGATAAGATTTACTCCAGCACACTTAGTGCGCACCCAATAAGGCAAATCAATCTTCCCGACACTCACATTTTTACCCCCACTGATTCGGAAACACCCAGATCAAAAACTATACACTACGACAACCCTACTGTACTTCTGCCCCAAACAACTTTAAGTAACAAAACTCCTATTGAAACTTTATCGCCACAACCCGGTACTAGTTCTTTGGCAAAAGCTGATAGTGACGACTATTGGGAATTCCAAGACTTCAGAGGGCCTTCCACATCAGCGTCAAATATAAGTCATTCAATTAGCAAAAAAACTGAAAATGAATCTTCAAAACCTACTTACGGGACACAATTATTACAACCCATTAAAATGGAACCCATTATGCCCAGTTTGAACTGGCCAGATCCTGGACAAGTAAAAGAAACGTTTGATGACTTTTCCGAGTTTATATCAAGTTCAACATTGAGTACTAACAATCAGAAACAGGATGAAACATATAATCAACCTGACATAAAGGCTTTAACAACGGAAACACAGCCGACAAACACAGTTACAAGTACTGAAGTCACTACACATATTAGACCTGTAGTTGACACAGTAGATGACGATTTTGACACATTCCAGTCTGCGCCACCAACAAGTAGCAAATACTTAAATTTTTCGAGTAAGAGCCACCACGCATTAAGTAGCACAGCCAATATTCCACCTCAAACAGCACAGCAAAATGTTCCCGATTTTGAGTTTGCATTCCCCAAAGTTGAAAGTGCTAATTCCAAGTTATCAAATGTTAAAACAAAAGGCAATATTGTGCAAAATCAAATGTCCTTCACCCCACCTCAACTAAATAGTATTACTAAAGCCACAGATCTCAATTCTAAAATTGCAACTCCACCATTGCAACCAATTCCCTCCAGCAGTTCTAATGTTATATTACATAATCATCAAAAGGGTGGACAAATTTTACAACCATTGTCTCTTGAAAGCATATCACAAATCAATTGGCCAAACCCTGGAATTGATCTTCAAGATTTGTCTCGATTCAATCCCATGGACACTGTGCATACTCTAAGCAGCGAATTCAGTACAAACAACCATAGTAAAAGCTCATCTCCCATTCACAGTCAAAAAAATTCTCATAACAGTCAAGTCATGGATGATGATTGGGGGGAGTTCGTGTCGAGTGCGCCAAACCAACAGTTGCCTGCGCCTAAGAAACAGCCGACGTTTGTCGACGAAGATGAATGGACTGACTTTATATCAAGCCCTAGCGTGAAACCTCAGAATGGATTAAATACTATAAGTTTAAATGTTCATACAAATATTCAGAAATCGGCGAACGCAACTAAATTCACTAAAAATCAACTTTCTCTCGACATTCCGACCTTAAGTATTATTACGCCAAAGTCGAGTAATAACAAAAAAATTAACGATAATCATTTTGAAAACTTATAACGGCACAGAAATCACCGGAACTACTTAATATAACAGTACTTAACTCCAATATACGAGAGATATTTGTAAATAGGGTGGTGGTGGTACGTGTATTTTCTTAACTTAAAACTATTTTAAGCCTATTTATATTTGTAACGATTACAAAATCCCGATGCGTCGGCCTTTATATAGACAAAGAAGTGAGAAGTCGTCCTCCTCCGTTTGCAAATGGTGAAAGAACATTCTCATACTACCTATGCGCAGAGTTGCCACGCGGGTACAACTGGGTTGAAAACTTCGCGAACATTAGGTATTTTGTAAAAAAATCAATTAACAAGTGTTCATTATTTTATATAAGATTTGGACCATAGCCTGAGTTACTATAGAAGTTACTTATACCGTGCCATAAGTTACTTGTTTAGCACCGCTATCGCTAGTGCTGTTAGACTTATATTTTTTTCTCCCAAGCAATTGATTCGATTAATACGTACGTGTTGAAATTGATAGGTACAACGTTGAAATCTACAATTCTTGTACTTTTGTAAACAGACGAGAACACATTTCACCTCGTACATCGTACTCGTACACGTGTTAAAAATCGAGAATTTTTGTAGGTCTAGCCTGCATTGATTCAGTATGTTATTTATGAAGTAATTATTGCCAACAAGTAGCTAAGCTGCACGGTATTTTCAAATATTTTGTGTAGTATGGGAGTGATCGCAAACCCGTCCTATTATACTTTTTTTTATTACAGTATTTTTTGTTTATTTATTCATATTAATTACGGCGTATATATGCCCAATTTTAACAATTGAATTGAACTGCTGAGTTCATACAGAATTAAATGTGTTAAGCAATACGTAAGAATTTAAATTTGCAATTAATTATATACTTCTATTGTGTGCATATTGTGGAATATGTATAAAATGTAAAAAAATATGTGTATGTAGATATCATCACAAAGGTAGGAGACCGTTAGATCTTGACATTCGAAATACATATTGTTACCAAGATATTATCGGTACACGTAGGTTGTAATGTAAATGAACTTTTGTAAACTATTTATTTCAGTAAAACGTACTCTATACTTTTCGCAATTCTTCGTCAGTATTTAACATCTATTCTACATTGTTTTATTTTAGCAACAAAACAATTAATTTCCACTTCTATAATAATTCTATTTGATAATGTTCAATTTAATTCCTTATTTTAATCACTGACTTTTTTTATTAAGAACTGTTATGTATATAAAGAAGATAAACTAGTTAAATACTTATAAAAGTGTTTATTTTATTATTTCTTCAGTGTCAGAGTGTTCGATATCATCGATGTGCGTGCCGATGATGTCTTTGTCATCTTCCTCCACTTGCGAAAAGGATTTGGGTAGGTTGCTTTCCATAGTTACTCTAAATTGGCATTGCTCGAACTCTGGCCACGATATGAATCTGCAAAGTAAGCATAACAATAAATGACAAGTACAATCTAATCTGAGTAATCTGGGTTATACGGTTTGCAAGATAAAATATGTATACTATCTAAGACGAGGTGGTGTTGCTCTCACATATACATGATAATGATACTGCTCATGTAAATTATTTTATTTAGCGCGACTATCGCCGTAGTATCTTTAACATATATATATATCGCCGTAGTATCTTTAACATATATATATATATATATATCTCTCTCTCTCTCTCTCTTTCCACACACTGTAAGCGTTCATTTTTTTTCCAGGATAACAACAACCATCATAATGAAAGTGATCCTCAACTTAGATATTGGTAAAATTAGGTTCAATTGCAGTTATCCACTAATGCATAGTTGGATGAATAACAAATAGTGTGTACAATGTAAGCACAATTTATATTATAATGATACAGAATATCCTAGTTGGATAAATCAGTAGGTTAAAAATAAGAAAAGTATGGTAACTCAGTGCAAAGTAACAGAGTGGCTTCTATGTACGCGCTGCTACGTTTGAATGGATTTGCCATACTTGTCTTATTATACCATGGTTGCAGTTGCTAGGGAGTTCATAGGAATGCTCACTTTTTAAATACTGTAATCTTCTGCTTAAGATTCAAGTCGCCGAATTCAGTGAAGATGGTCATATGCGGCAGGGGCGCGTCCTCTGGTCCCGGGGAGGTCTCTTTCCTAGTATCCGGGGGATCTTGACCCGTGATCAACCATATTCCGCATCCTGGTATCCATTGCCTGCAATTTAGTTTAAGTAATCAAACCTTCGCGGGGTGTAATATGAGTTCAATCAAGCACTTTAATATATTTTTTTATGATACTAAGTGATGGGACGAACAAGTCGTGCGCCTGATTATAAACGACACGCCTGTCCATAACAGTCGCAGTGCTACTCAGGGCTATAAATCACAAAGATCTAAGATGCCCTGCCTCTACGCCCATCACCCTGAGACACTGCTACTAGATTCAGTAAATAAATGTTAGTTTCAACATTTGAGACTCCTCCATGTATGAACTCATTCGACGTGCAGGAGTTTTCAGTATGTTTTTCTAGACAGTTTGGTGTAGGCTATCACTTTTTTAACAGAAAATATACAATATATTCAGGGTGGAAAGTATATAGAGTATCCAGAATGAATATTCACTAATGGTCTATATCCACCCCCGAGGGTCCTCTCCAACCTAAAAGGAGTCCACGTCAGCAAAAAAAAATAGGGGGTGCATGAGATGGGGAAGGAGCACAGGCAAGTCGTGACTACAATTTCGGCGCGCGACCTAGAGATTAAAAGTTTAGGAACCTCTGTTCTAGAATATGTTTTTAACATGTTACATTACTTACTCTAACATTGGTATGACTCTTGTGGATTTCGAGAAAATGTGCGGTCTGAAGAAGTACCAGAGCAGTGGCAGGTATTCAGGCGGGCAGGGCAGCTTTTGCTTCTGCGTTATGTTCACTAGATGCAGACAGTTATCGTCGATCTGTTATTCAAATAAAAAGCTTGACAAATTAACTAAAAAACAGCTAGTAACAGTAATTGTAAACTGCCCAGTCGTTTTCTGGAAAGGCTTTAAATATCGAAGAATAATTGGAAAAGGAGATCCGCCAAATCCCATACAAAATTACCCCAGGCCCGGCGCCAAAATAATGTAACTCAATTTTTAGAGTAAAATTACCAAAAATATATAGTTTCGGTATTGCTAAATTCACATGCTAACATTGTCTTTTTGCCCGTTGAATTTTAATAGGGGCTCTTTGTAAAATTATATTTTTTAGAGAAACGTCGTCATTTTTAGTTCATTAATCTTGTAATTAGTCATTATGGCATATAAGCATGTATGTACTGTACTGTGAACTATGAAAAAATAAATTAGATGTTCGAAACTATGTGTAAAATAAAACACTTAGTATGGTTATAAAATAATATATATTTTCATTTTCTCGACAGAATATATGTTTGATGGACTTAGTTTTCTAAATCAACTAATACAAAATCTAAGCCTAGAGCTGGGTGGTCTAAATCACGTTCATTGTGTCTAGCCTAACCCAAATAGTACATGACGCTTATTACATGGGCGCAACTTCCCAGTGTTCTGTTCCCGTGATAACAGGAACAGTAATGTTCTTTCACTGCCTCGATTCCAAAAACCGCAGTATTAAATAACAAATAGGTATAATAAGTTTTTGATCTGACATGACGTGAATTAATTCTGCAGCGAATCAGTACGTTGTTTGTATGCGACTGTGACGTTATAACTCGATCATTTATTATATCTATTTGTTCTGAGTGTCTGTAAACCTCGATTTCATATACGCCAGTTCTCTTCGTGTGTTCGCTGCAGTACGAACGTGCTATTTTGAGGTGATATGTGCCTATAGCGAATTTTATCAGATCTTCGTACGTCAGCTTCGGAAAATCTGATACTTCTGGATTGTTTGCGTCCAATCTAGTAAATGATGCTCTTTGCCTGTTCAAGTTGTTTTCTAAAACATACGCGGCCAACAGATTTGTTTTATGTATGTTGCGGTTTATTGATGCAATAAAATCATCAGTAAATCTACTGTCTTCGTAAGGCTCCTGAAAGCAGTTTATCAAAGCCGCTGCTATTTTGAAATCTGTGAATGTTTTCGTCAAGGTATTGTTAAACATTCTGTTGCGGAAGATTTTAAAGCTATTTTTAAACTTGCCATTCACAGTTTCTACAACCCAACGACACATGGTTATTAGTCGTGATTTGTTGGCCTCTTCTGTAGTGAGTTGAGTTTCATTTAATAATAATAATAATAATATGATTGATATACATGCTTATATGCCATAATTATTTATTACAATGTTAATGAACTAAAAAGGACGACGCTTCTCTAATAAATAGAATTTTTCATAAAGCGCCTATGAAAATTCAACAGGCAAAAAAACTATGTTAGCATGTGAATTTAGCAATACCGAAACTATATAATATTATTGCTATTTTTACTCTAAAAACTGAGTTACATTATTTTGGCGCCGGGCATGGGGTCATTTTGGCGGATCTCCTTTATATAATTGCAGGTTTTACAAAGTAGGTATCCTGGCAAAGCTAAGAAAAACATTTCCTAGTTGGTCACAAGGACAATAAGCTCCATATCTTTCTACGTTAGTTTTGAATATAGTGACCCTTCCTACCTTCCCTGAATATACGCGATACGGTATATATACGCGACGCGATACGAAGGGCATACGACAAGGGCACTATAACCTGTGCGCGCACTCCTGTGCGCCTTACCTTATAAGTTCAGGTTCTGACCCCAGATCAGCCGATGTACAGAGTTGTCACAGACCTCTGTCACTTGACTTCATCCGGTTCTTCGAGAGGCTAATGGTTCGGATGAGCCGCCCCGGGTGCACGTACAGTATCCTTCCTATTTCCCAGATAGGTACCGGAGCTGTAGGCACCCTCACTTTCCGTTGCGCTTTGCACAACTAGCGGTTGTCACCGCTAAGCCGTTGACTCTGAGTCCACTACCAAATCTCCTCATAGGTGGCGGAGCTGTAAGGCATGCTCACTTCCCGAAGCCGAAAAAAAAACGACGTCTCTCCAGTTCCCAATAACTTAAGCGGCTGGAGGGACCGGAGCATTTCTAGCTTATTCTCTACTAGCTCTTCGGGCTAATGCCGGAGATGCCAGTCGCAGTGTCCTGCGACAATGTCCGGATATAGCTTCCAACTTAAAGGGCAACTCACGTGTCCCGCGCGTCTCCTCGCTGCAGGTCCTCAACTAGACTGCTACTAAGACGCGCTAGCTGCTCACGAGACAGACGCCCCGGAAACATGCAAAACCGGGGCAGACAAACATATCCGTCTCTGAAGCTAATCATAAACCCCAGCGAGTCCATACCCAAGGCCGGGTCCGCCAGAGACGCCCGCACAGGCGTATAACTGGCGGAGGGCTTGGCCCGGACGCCCGCTGTACCCTGGTCTTGCCGTCGAGCCCGTAGTCTCTCCGGAAAATTCTATCTCTCGGGTCAGTAGATAGGGACAACAATCTAAGTTGTGTAAAAAACTATCAAAAGTTACAGGTTCTACTTCGCTCATCCGTATCAGACTGCCCTTGTATTTTTTTTTGTTCTGCCTTAAGCGTAGAACATCGTCATAGACATCGTACAAAGTTTTATTGAAATGTGCAAGGAAATTCAGGCACTGTCATAGTAGTGTATGTCTTCGATTCTTCGAGCTCTGTCTTCTGCAGGAATGATTAAGTTTAATAGTAAAGATTTGCAAAGCATTTTCTGGTGGAAAATACACTATTTGCGAGGTTAGATGTTGCTCAGAAAATACACTAGACGCGAGTATGGATATTGTTAATATAATTCATTATGAAGTGATTCATCACATAAATCTACTTTCTAAACGAAGTCAATTCAATAAAATTACAAACTGAAAATGTTTACAAACAAAACAAAGCGGCCATGTTACTGTAGGTACAGTCTATGTACAACAACTCATAATGAGGAAAGGTTCTTGATTGCTTCCGTTACGTAAAGCGGGACTCGCAGTACGTGATAGCTACCCGTGCGCCGGGATACGGCGCATGGACCTATTTTCAGTTTCAGTACCTAGTGCCTAACGCCCCGCTACGTGACGTGGATCGCACGCAACTACCTAGGTACCAATCGTTTTTCTCTAGTCTCCAATTCGTTATGTTACTGATATCAACCCATTTTTTTTGTTACTATACGTACTGTACAAATAATTAAAATAATTTTTAATTGTATTTGTTGCCACCTACAATTTTATGAATTATTCAATTGAATAGACGTTCGGAGTAAGTACTAATTTCATTACTTGTCAAAAAATTATTTACAAATCGCACATTGAAAACAACACCGTCACTAAACGAAAGTCTCGCTTTTTGAAAAGTTGACTTTTTCGTTTAGTGACAGTGTCGATTTCAACGTGCGAATTCTGTGCAGAAATTTTGTTTCGTAGAAAATAAAAATTACGTTGAAATCAAACACGTCCCTACAGTGAGTTTGATTTGACTTTGTTTTTGTTGGCCACGTCTGTTACATAATCCATAATGACATCTTTATAGACGAGGATACGCAGGGTAGTACGTACTACGCATCGGGGAGTCACTGCGACAGGAACACAGCGCGCGAGGTGCACGCCACAGAAGCCCTTCGCAGGCGTGGCGCGGGTGCAAACTTGAACTGGTTGTTCTGATGAAACAACTATTCAATCATGAGGCGACAGACCCACTTCATGCAGTGGACGCCCTTAGGGCGCGTTCCCATTATGTCGTAACGTTTTATTTATCGTTGGACGACTGTCGCGTCTGGTCTGTTCCCATATCACAACTATCTGTCGTGATTGTGTCGTAGATGTTTATTTTATCGTTGAACGACTGTCGTGTGTAGCTGTTCCCAGTAGATCGTGACGACAATTCATCGGTTCACGGTAGCCGCCCTTGTCGTTTGCACATCAGAATCGTTTGAAGCTGCGATTATCTGTAGTCACATATTTATCGTGATGTTTTATTTATTGTCAGACAACTGTCGTTCTAGCTCTTCCTATTGTCACGACACGTCTGTCACGTCACGACACGTCTGTCGTCGTAACGTCAAAAAAGTCGTGAATGACAGTTAATCGTGTTGTTCTATGCGTGAACAACTTCATTTAAATATTCAAGCCACGACACTTTAAACTGCACGACTATCTGTCGTCACGACATAATGAGAACGCGCCCTTAGGCGTACTGACGGCATGGACGATCTGGTAGAGGTCGCTAGTAATTGTAGTTGCTTCCAGCTTCCATGATAAGTGACTACTTACCACATTAACGTGTTTACTAACGGCAGGTATGGTCCACGGCAGGAAATGCACTTTAGGCACTGTCGTCAGTAATTTATAATCGAAGAGCAACTGGAAAAGTGCAGGCGTAGATTTGTGTTTGTTCATTTGGACATCAGCATCAGTAAGGAACTGAAACGTTAATAACTTTTTTTTTATTAAGTGTTACGTCGGACTAGGGCCTACTAGGGTGTTCCAAATGAGTAGATAAATGTTTACATACCTATAGATACAAGGAGTGGCATAGAGTGGTTTATAAAACCACCAAATATGAATTAATTATTGTTTCGAATTCCGAATTTCCGGAAATAGTTTTACTGCATCGTATGACAAAACTACTCACTTAGGAAGCTGAAGTTGGATTTAGTAATTCTAGGGGTGCCATGTAAAAAAATGTAGTAGAAAATTAACCAAAGTAAATATTTTTAAATCCTACAAATAAAAGCTTATGTTAAGTAATGTGGATATTGTTTATTATTATAATGACTATGTATTTATCAATGAATTTTATTAAATTTCATTATGATTTCGAATTAATTAATATATAAAGAATTAATTAATATTTGGTACTTTTAACCGCCACATGTCACTCATTGTATTTATATGGAGACATTCACCTATGCATTTGGAAAAACCCGAAATCCGACCATTAATAAAAAGTGTATTCTAAGATGTCTGAGTAGTTTTTTTTTGTATAGTATGTGTGCATTTTATTCTTTTTTTCATTTACCTCAAACAGACGTCCAGACATGGCAATAAACAGATCAGGTCTTCCCAACTGGCTGCTTATGTTGTAGAATACAATATTAGTAATCATGTGCTTTATAAATGACAGTCCTGGCATTGCACCCACTACTTTTACTATTCTATCTAGAAGATGATACAAATAATTGAGTTATTAATATAATGGTAAGTTAAATAGGTCTTTAACAAACTATACCCTTAAAGGAGACCCGTGCTCCGCGTGGGGACGAATAATTAATATTTGGTAGTAATTAGTAGTAAGTTAAAAGTAGTAATAGTAACTTAAAAGTTATAATGTTGTAAGCCATATTTTGACACTCATACTTCATATCATAATTGATTACACAAATACTTATTTCAAAGTTTAGCACTGGGGAAAAAAATAACTTGCCAGCCTATAGAGAAGAGTTGTAAAGACATGACAATGACAAATTAATGTTATGTAGCCATTATCTAAAATAATAATGTTCTCTCTTACTCAGCTCACAAAAGCATACATTCTCCATTAATCATTGTTTGTCTACCTTAAATTTTTTATATGATACCAAATGACGGGACGAACAAGTAGTGCTCCTGGTGGTAGGCAACACGCTCGTCCACAGCAGTTGCAGTGCCACTCAGCTTTAAATCAAAAACATCTGAGGGCCACTGCCACTGCGCCCGTCGCTTTGAGACATAAGTTGACAAGTCCTATATGCCTGTAATTTCACCAGCACCATTATCCTTCAAAACCAGAACACAGTAATGCTAACATTACAGCCTGGCACCAGAAATAAGTAGGGTGGCAGTACTTCCCTGGATGAACTCTTTATTTAATTTATTACAATAATCACACATTTCATAGTTCTCTAAAACATTAATCAAGAATTTACTTGAAAGAGATTCTAGAATATACCCAGTATGAGAGGTGAGTAAGAATGTAATATAGATATATGATATTTTGTACTAAAACAACCATTACCATTATTTTCAGTATAGAGATTTCCTAATAATTCTTTGATTCTGTTCCCTTGATCCATCTTATCCTGAAATGCTAGTTTCCACATACCAAAGAAGTCTGCATTCTTGTACATTACTCTGTTGGGGTAACGGTCTTGTAACTTCTGTAAAAATTGTAAACCAAATCAAGGAAGGGGTCTGAGGCGTAACTCAATAAGTTTTCATGAAATGAGTTATGTAACTTATTACAGTGTACTTTCCATGCTCTTCATAAAGGTATAATATTCTGATTTTGTAACTAGTTTATTTAATTTAGTTTAATAACTAAATACATATTTAGTTTATTTAGTTAATATATGTTACAAACATAAACCTTTTGACTGTACAAAAAAGTGAAGGTGCACAATAATGAGTTAGACGACACATTTTACGAAAATTTAAAGTTATTGGGATTTGCTGCGGACCCCTCAATATGTAGTTATTAACGCACACACTCGACATAGCCCTGCACTAGGGAAACCTTGTGTCGCGGGTGCCATGGACACACAAATAGACAATTACAAATTACGCCCGGGAATCGTGTGATCCCTGGGATCTCTGCATGGCAGTTGGCATGGTAACCGCTCGTCCACAGAGGCAGTTATTTATGTGAATGTTTTAATAATTCCAAATTAAACATACCTTAATATTAACTGTTTCTAGTACAGAATTTCTATCTTTGCAGCGTTAAGAACCCGCATCATTTAATCATGTAAACAGCCAGCCGTTTCTGGTAAATAATAATGTTTGGAGATCTAAAATTACTTACGCTGAGATGAGGTATAAAATGAGTAGAACATTCATACATAAAATGCGGCCCTCTATGGACTTGCAGAAGTTCTTCACTCAAAATTCCTAATCCAGGGTTTACCTCCACTACGGGTGACTTATCCAAGGAGCTTTTGATCGTTTTCGCTATTTCCTTGGCTGTTTTCTTATTTATCAAGTACATACTTTCTGGGTTCTTATACTTCTTTAGAAGAGATTTTGGCAGTTGTTTAATTAATCCTTCGTATTCAGGGAAACTATTCAAGTAGTTGACAACGTCTGCGGCAAGTTTAGGACTTTCTTTTGCATCATTTTGTTTATTTAGTTTGTGTCGCAACCTCAAAGAAAGCACGATAGGATTACTTGTAGCGTAAACTGTCGCCGTTTGAAATGTCTTTGCGAACATTTTTGCAGTCTAAAAGTAAAATTTCTATTTTAATAAGTTATGTAGCGGTGACACGGTTATCATTTACAAACATAACATTTAAGCAGTCAAGAACATGCAACTTGTAAAAATCGTGCATGACATGACAGCTGTCAAAATCAGCTGTGTTTATGGAAATTTTTTAAGGCTCTGCTCGGCTCTAATTAAAATTAACATACGATTTAGAACCATTCCCGTGTTGCAAATAAAAACAATCAGGAACGCGTGATGTGTGTTACGACGCTATTCCATAACGTAACATTTTTCCGCAACAACGTATTAAACATAGTCTTGCGTTTCGAATTTATTATTATTATGTGACAGATAAACCGGATTGCTTTTTGAGAAATGCTCGGGCCAGTGGGCAGAAATCGTATTTTTCTTACTAGCTACAGTATACAACATGCCTGCCCAGTAGTGGGACGTATAAATGGGATGATGATGTGACTTAACATAATATTAGAACTCCAAAGTGACGAACCTAAAACGGCCCATTCACTACCTGCAAGGCAATCCGCCGCGCAGGTAGGAGACTGCTCACACACTATCCTGCGTATGGCCCACGTATGGACTCTCGCAGGACGCATTGCGTTATTGCAGGATGACTTGCACGCTGCGACTTCATGCGTAATCCTGCATTACAAGGCAGACTACAATGCAAGATAATGAATGCCCCCTTTAAGGGCAAGGTATTATACATAACTTTTTTTAAATTAGAAAGATAAAAATTATTCTAATTATAAAAATAATTAAGTAGTACAATCAACATTACAACACAAAAAGCTGGGCTAAACTTTAGACTGTTATCAATGATCATAGAACCTATTGTAAGTAAATAAAGTTTAAAATAAAAATACATCATTGGTTTAAATTATTTTAATCATTTATTTTTGTCCAATGCATCAATTGGCGTTATCGCGTTGATAATCGCCGGACCCGGTAGACGACATGTACCAATTCAGTCAGTTTCCCGTTTGAGGGCGCTTAGGTGCAATTTGTGCAACAAAATTTCAAAAATTATCAACAATGTCAAATTTTTAGGTTTTTTTAGCGTTAAATACCTGATTACTGTTACAAATGTTTTTGGGAATAATCTTGTCGTTGGTAGTCGCATCCGTTTCCGCTTCCGTCATTTTTGAGGATTGCGGTAAGTCTTTGAACTTTATTAATCATCTCAATATGAACAGCAGAGCCAGAAGGCGTATACGTTTACTTGGTGTCTGTATTTCCAAACTGGGCATTTCAAAATTCTGGGTGAATGAACAAATTCTAATTGAACGCGTAGACTCCTTGTCCATTAAACTTATTAGGTGGGTTGTGGACAAAGGTCAGTAATAAATGAAATGAGATTTTAATTTTAACATTATCTTTTACGTACGTGATTTCCTTTTCTTGCATAGTAATATAAGTCTATAACAACAGCGATGCCATTAACCTTGTATTTTCGCCAGTAAATCTAAATACCTACTTATGAGATTGTGGACAATTACAACATGGAAAAGGTATCAAGTTAATTGTTACTCTACTCAATGTTAGTGTAGGTACTTCGATCGCCGTTGTACATCGTCGTCAATTCTTGTAAAATAACCTAATGTCTTATTCTATCCAACTACCTATTATTTGTTATTTGTAATTGTATTTATAGACCCTGATGGTATACATATTACAGTGCAGCTTATTTCCAAATCAGAAATTATATTTCTATTTTACCTTATGTATCTAGGAGATGAAGTTAACTTGACACGCATTCTGTATTGTCTCACTTTTTTCTGAGTTCAAGACGGGCAGAGCAATTGCAGTCAGAATTCGCTACCTTGTACAGGTACCTACCTAATAACTATTACTAAATACTATGCAAATAACGCAGAAAAATACAAAAACCAAGCTATAACAGTTTCCAATAAAATGTTATAGTTTTAGACGAACTCTTTCACAAGAAGCTCTACTGCTCCTAGAAACTGCTGCCATTTGCAGAAGGTAATAGGAAAGTTTGCAAGTAAAATTCGTTAATTTTGAAGAAAAATTTTAAAAACAAAACTACTAAGACATTCTTATCCAATCTATTATTATTAATTGTCCTATAGTGGGATATTTTAGAAATAAAAAAGTCATAATAAGTACATTACGCGATATTGCAAATTGTATAAGCGCGATTGTCTATTTTTCTCGAAATTAACTTTTTTTGCGGCACATTTGTGTCATCAAATCAAGTTTTTCTTGAATCAATTAACAACGCGTGCATTATCTTAATAACTAGGAGCAAAAACCAGAAATATGGGTACGTGTAGGTACACGTCATTGTTAATTGTCTGTAGGTAATTAGCCACGACTATTTATTTAACAAATACGCCACAATTATATCATTCAAATAACACGAAATATGCAAACGTGTAGAAAAACAAACTACCTAAGAAATGTTTTATTTAGAATTTGCACACACATCGAGACTTGTTTATGTATAGAAAATGAAAAGAAATCAAAGTAGATTACATACTACAGTGAATGAGGGTATTTACTACATCGTAAAGTTTATGACACAATAAAAATAGATACGGTAAGTGTCAAACTCATACATTAATACCTACTCATAGAAGATTATAAACTAACCAGTCAACCAGGAAATGGGATTTTCCTTACACATGTAACCTATCTCTACACATAACATTTACTTTTAAAACTAATTTCAAGTCATATTTTTTTATTAATTCATACGAAAAATAAAAATCAATTAAAATCTGTGATAAGTTTGTTGCGTCAAAACGTGACGTATATATGTTGTGTATTGTATTACGAAAACAAGTTATCAATAAAACAGCTTAAATACAGGTTATAACAAAAGATCAACCTCAAGTTTAGCTAACTTGCAAAAAAGTGTAGCAAAAACAAATTCCCTGTACAAAATAAGTCAATCAGAACGTTTAACGATTTTTTTGTTGTACCACTGAATGTTAATACGCTAGTTTAGTCATCCTAGTTTAGACTCCTGTCACCATAAATTCATTAGCTTATTGCTTGAGCACCGTACTTTTATTCTAATTCGTGAAGGACATAAAGAATGTTAATTACTGATATTATATCCCTGTCAGCAAGAGAAGATTATTTTTTGTGATTGGATTTGATGTTGCATTTTTTAAGCATTTATTCCGTTAGTAAAAAGAAAAAATCTCCTCTCCCAAAACCCTTGCAAAAACCCCCCGCACGATCATGGCATCCCGTCATGAACCTTACCAAAGCGTTAGCGTTTTTTTTATGTCTTAATAAAAATTTTGAGTAAAAGGCGACCTATAAAGCAACAAAATCAACTATATTAATAAAACTTCAAGTTTATCACATGTTTCACATGAAATATAACAAAATATGAACTTACTTGGCACTTGGTGTAAAGGGCTGGTGTCCGCAACTAAAATATGAACGAATTATTAATTTCTAATTGACGCAAAATACTAACTAATCGAGATCTTTTTCGTCGATTCGTCAAAATACTCAAGAAAATAATCAAAGGGTGGGCGGCAAGTAAGGTGAAATGAGTACCTACCACAATTAATCCCTATCGACCAAGACTGGATGATAGAAGTGACCGTGGAGAATTCGGAACCCTTCGAAAAACGACTGGTCTGGGCTGATTCGTCCGCCAGTGATACGCCTTTGCTCTGGTGGACGCGGACTTAAGTATGGACTCACTGGGGTTTGTGGTTAGCTACAGAGACGGATATGTTTGTCTGCCCCGGTTGGGTGTGACCGGGGCGTCTGTCTCGTGAACAGCTAGCGCGTCTTAGTAGCGGTCTAGTTTAGGACCTGAAGCGAAGAGACGCGTGGCGCACGTGAGTTGAACTTTAAGTTGGAAGCTATGTCCGAACATTGTCGCAGGATACTGCGACTGGCATCTCCGGCTCTAGCCTGGAGAGTTAGTCGAGGTTAAGCTAAATATCCTCCGGTCCCTCCAACCGCTTAGGTTATTGGGAACTGGAGAGACAACGTTGTTTGGCGTCGGGAAGTGAGCGTGACTTACAGCGTCGCCACCAATGAGGAGATTCAGTAGTGGACACAGAGTCGGCGGCTTAGCGGTGGCAACCGCTAGTTGTGTAATGTGCAACGGGATGTGAGCGTGCCTACAGCTCCGGAACTTATCTGGAAAATAGGGAGGGTACTGTACGTATACCCGGGACGGCTCATCCGAGGCACTAGCCTCTCAAAGAACCGGATGAAGTCAAGTGACAGAGGTCTGTGACAACCCTGTACAGTGGCTGATCTGGGGTCAGAACCTGAATTTATAAGGTTCCTGGGCGCGCAAAGGTTGTGGTGTCCTTGTCGTATACCCTCAGGGTCGGTAGGGAGGGTCACTACAATCAAAACTAACGTAGATAGATATGGGGCTGGTCTGGGCTGGTGAGAGTTTCCGCTGATCGACTTTCTGGATACAGATACGACTTTATTAGATATACGGCTGTGAATAGTCGACCTCCTACCACAACTGAGATGACTTCCACGACGACTAGATGGAGACGATATGAGAGCATTAAATCCAGGTTTAGGTTCGAGTTCTTCAGAGCACGATCGTGTTGTATGACTTTACGACTGAATATCTTGAATCTTGATCTAAAATCTTGCTTTTCGACCTCCCGTCCGTCACGTACACGCCCACACTTGTCGCTCTCGGCACAGCCCTAGAACACGGCCGCACTGCTTTAATAGCGAAAATTAATCGAATGCACAAACGATCGGTGTCGATCCGACGCGGTAACATTGAATACTTTTATACCTAATTTTTTTCAAAGTTGAACGCACGATCGTATTATTCTGTGCTGTAAGGAAAATACGACTCTACTCTACTCTACTGTATACCATCCCATCCAGTCTACAATGTCTTTTTTTTTGTTTTGTCTCAGCCCATAGTCTTGTAAATGAAAGAAGTGTGCAAGACATTTATTTTATTTTTAGCTCTGTTATCTAAGATTACCGATATAAAGACTGTATTATCAATTAATATTTAGATTAGCTACATATATGTTCTTTTGTTTGCAATGTATACAATAAATATGGTAATTGTTTTTAGAATAACACACAAAACGCGTGTGATTGAAGGCTTTATTATACAGGATTAAGGTTAAACTGGTGTATTCGCATTATCATTATGTGACTCGTCGTAGAATCATGATTAGAATTTATATTAAGACAGCGTTACTTGACTTCTACATGTGTAAGACAATTTTGAGCCCGACTGTGGATCTTTACGACTGAAATGTCATATAGACAATCATCATGATTTAAGGCCACATCTGCTAAATGACAACTTTCTAGGATAAAAATTATAGGAACGAAATTGATCTTCAACTTCATTATGCTTTAAAAAAGTGTATGAAAGTAATCACATATATATACATAACTTGTTTCATGTAGGTAGTTCGTACTCTTTTTATGATTTTATATGATAAAGACCATTTTGTGTATGATCATTGAATACATGTGACTTTATAAGTACCTATGAAATGAAAATTCTCTAGATAAAGTAGATACGATCTTAATCGTTCGTCTCTGCCTCCTCTCTAATTCAGCGCAATGCTGAAATCGATGCCAACGAAAATTGGGACGAATTTTGACAAGTATCAAAAATGAATTAAATGCTCAAATTAGATCATGACTTGAATTTTACATTTTTTATTTAGAATTAATAATTTAGCTCTATCGACTGGTTTGTCGCGAGTATTACAATCGATGTATTACTGTATTACGAGCCTAGGTTTATTTATAACCTGTAAAGGAACACAGAAATGGACGAATGGAATTTGAAGCTCTGAGTGGCACTGTAACTGTTATGGACATGCTTATATGGTGTAGCTTAGCCATCAGGCGCACGACTTCGTTCCCGTCAATTGATGTAATAAAAAACATGGGATTTGTCAACATAACTCACCCTGAGACATAAGTTGACAAGTCCCATATGCCTGTAATTTAACTAGCACCCCTACCCTTCAAAACCGGAAAGTAATAATGCTCACAATACTGCTTAGCGGCAGAAATAGGTAAGGTGGCAGTACGTCTCTGGAGGAACTCTTTCACAAGGAGCTCTACTGCTACCTACTAAAAAGAACTAGAACCCCGCATTGTATAGAGGCTGGTGCCACAATCTTATTGGAAACGTTAATTGTTTCCACGACGATCTCCCAACACTCCTTAAAGTCAAGCCAGCTGCGGCGGCAACTGCTACATCTTAGCCGTTAACAGTAGACCTTGTCTTGATCTCGTTTAATTTGTTTCTTTTGATCACGTTCTCTCAGTAATGTTGGCGCCAGTCATCTACAGGGTTCCAACTAACTTTCTTATTCTAGAGGGAAGTTAGATAGGACTCACCGAGTTATCTTTGGGTGATCACTTCCTCACATCAGGAGTACTTATTATTTCAATTCTCTTAAATATATTCTTATGGCGGTTGTACCTCCACACGGCAACCCAGTACTTACTTAATTGTCCTCTTCTGAAAAGAGGTGTAAACATCACTCTGTATCATTGTTCCGGA